TCCTTCAGCTACAGGGTGTGTTAAATTTGGGATAATTAATCCATAGGCTGATTCACAAGTGGTGCACTGGCATAGGCTTCTTGGGGAGCAGAGCTTTTTATTTTCTGTGGAAGGAAGCTTAGTGCTTAGCAGAAGCTAGGATTCAAAATGACTTTACGTTTGAGTTTTGTTACCGTGGCTCCCTTAGCTTGTGATCATAACCAGTGAAACTGTCTTTTGGCTGAATGCAAAATACACGGGGTGGACCAGTGAAAATTTTAAAACACACTGCATAGTAATTCTTTCCTTGTGTGTCTTTTAAGTCTTTATTTACTTTTGATCTCTTCTCATAAGGATGGTGGTGAAAGGAAAACCAAATACCTTTAAGATAATAAATGAGGTACCATACTGTGGCGTAGATCAAGCCACATTTGTGATTTATGGCAGCTCAGGTTTCTGTATGTGGATGAGACAAAAGTGAATGAAAAAAGTGAAAAAGTGAATGACTTTTCATAACTTCTGTGAATGTCATTTGCAAAAGTGAGTGACAAAAGTGAAAACTACCCATTTGTGCATTAATTAACAGAAAGTTGTCAGTCATCACTGAGCTCTTTCTGTCAGGCACTTCCCGCCCCAGGGATGGATAGGCTGTATATACAAACTGCAAATCATCTGGCTAGTACTGTCCTTGTTTACCGTTTCTTAATAAAGTGTGTCATCTCAAATGTGTAAGAGCAAAGGAGAAGCTCTTAATCTTTAGGAGAAGCTCTTAATTTTTAGTCTTGTGAAGATGCTAGCCATTCTTGTGAAGATGCCATCTTAAGGACAAGTCCAGCTTTTGTTTGTTTGTTTGTTTGTTTGTTTTTTGGTGTCCTAAATTCAAATCCTTGCTTTGTGGTTTCCATCCGTTTCCTTCTTCTGTTGAAGGTGATACTTTAATGGTCCTCAAAGAAGAAAGGCCTTTGTTGTAGAAAGTAGCAGGCTGCTTCTGGAAAATACGGCATAGAAAATATAGTGAAGACATGAATAAATTTAGAAAACAATTTTCATATTCAAACAAAGCTGAATCCATTTCCACATCTTTGTGTTGAAAAATTACTGGTAAAATCTAGTTGATTTTTCTGGTAAAATTTACTCTTGTATGATGTGTTTTTAGACTCTTTATTCCTTGTTAGCTTCTTTTTTGACATGGGTAAGTAACTCTTTGATGTTGTTAAATGTCCTTTCTAAAAATAGATTGGGAGCAGAAAAGTACTCAGTGGCTCTTGAGTCAGACTCATGTTAAGTCAGTGGGAAATCATTCTGTCTGCTCTAATGGGGTTTGGCTCAACCTCATGTCATTGTGCGTTAGCCAGGCCTCAACTACTGCCATACAGGAATTCTCCAAAGAAGAAATGTTTTCTTTTATTTTTAAATGAAACAATTTGCACAATTTTTGCATGGTGTTTCTATCATTCTTTGGTAAGTAAATCTTAAATACTAATCCTGCAAACTCTTATGCTTTTGGAAGTTGTTTTTATTAATGTCAAAAGACATTTAAAAAGTCATTATCTGAATGAGGACTGAAGAATCAGGCCAGCTTCTGACTATTTCACAGAAAGGAGAAGGAGCTGTTTTAGTTCGATATTTTCAATTAGGCTGTTTAGAAATTGGGAGGTATGTCTTGATAAAGAAAAAGTCAGTGTTGTTCTAATTCTTCAATGGAAGATTCTTCTAACATGTATGGAAAGGAACTGAGATGTTAGATATGTGAACTTTGAGAAGGGAAAAAAAATTGGCACCTTTATAATTCGCTGGACTTGGAAACAAAATGGGTTTGAATGTAGTAGTTGGCATTTCAGAACACCAATTCCGCACCACCTTTAATGTAAAAGTATATGCTCTCTGAAAAATGGAAAAAGTAATGATTTTCTTAGTATATGTTAACTCTGCTGAGCTGTGCTTGGCTAACATTTTTCTCATCTGTTTTATAGGTTTTGTAAAAGACACCGGATTAAGTCAAATTCAAATGTTCCATGTGTCCCGAAAGACTTGTTGATGATGTCAGAATTAGTTCTTCCACAGTTCATCTTTAGTCTTATTCAGCACTTAAGAGAGGGGTATAATGAGCCTGGTATGTTTTAAATTTGCATGTGTCTAGTATATCTTACCATGCTGTTATCTCTTGCTTTGCAGTCTGTGAAGACACAGTACATGAATACATGAATGCTATCTATAGTTTATATCAGTGAATTTTGTGCCTCTTTTCCTAACAAAGTTACTGCCTGGCTAGGAGATTTGATTTTGTTCTCTGCTGAAGAGCTTCTTATATGTGTTTTAAGGGTTACCTAGCATTGTGCTCAGCTCATCCAGAAAATGAAGCTGGGATTAATTTGAAACTTGTACATGTGAATTTCATAGCATTATGAGTATATAAATTAATTTCTTTTGTGGTGCTCATAGCTGTTCTGCCTTGTGAAGGTCTTGGCCAAATTACATTACATTTATACCAAAAGTTCTTGTTATGTGGTTTTCAGCTCCTGATCTGCCATCAGAGAAAGACCTTCATAAAATCCTCCAGGTTTTGGAGCCTCATGTTTCCTTTCTTGAAGACTTAACCAAAATGGGAGGAGCGATGCGATCAGTTCTTACCCAGGTTTTGACTAGCCAACAGTTCTACAAAGATCTTAGCTCTGGTATGTTTGTGTTATTTCTAATAATTACATTTTCAAATTATTGACGAATTTAAGGGCATACGTTTTGTTTATCACTTCGGTTTCTGTATATTTTTATTTGACTTCTCAAAACCCAGAAAAATGCATGTTTTTAAGGATATTTTTTTTGTTGTTGGTAGAAGGGGGGTGGGCTTCAGGAGTGACTAGAAACATTTGTTATTAAGACCTGTAAGAGCAAACCTCTTACCTTCTGTGTCCCAGATAACTGTATAAAGATATATCACTTCAAAAGAGTTTTTATAATAAATCTGTTCTCTTTAAAGTGAAGTGAACACGGCAGCTTAGTACTTCCAGATAAGGCATATCAAGCTTATTCAAAGTAGAACATGTCTAACTTATTTTGGGATCTGCTCTCACAGAGGTTACTGGAGAAGACCTGAATGGCAAAAGGCCATTGTCTGTCCTGCACTTCTGTGCAAAGCCTTTTTTCTTTTTTTTTTTCCTAAAAACATCCCACCCCCAAATATTTATTCCATCCTGTACCAAATCACAATAAATCTGAAAATGTTGGGCAGTCACTATTAATCCCAAAACACCTAGTGTAAATTAACTTAATCTTATTTTCTTGTGATTAGAAGGTGTCTTTTTTGAGTCCTTTGCATACTTCCTTTGCATAGGTGTGGAACAAATAGTAATTACTGTAGATATAAGGTGCCATAACTGGCTTGGGCAGTAGCTAGTTGAAGAACAAGCAATCTCCAAATCTTTATTCAAAAGGAGAAACACTTAAGAAAGCTGCCTCAGGGACAGTTGTCTTTATTCTGTTTCCTTCCTCTTTTTGTCTCCTGTTTAATAATATTTGAATGGGAGAAATTTAATGACTTCTCTTTTCCTATATGTGATGGATTTCCTGAGATAGAAAAGTGAAGAAGGAATGGGAAGTAAGGCATTCTTATCTGGACTCTTGGAGTGGAGAATATGTGTGTCTTGAGTAGGTACAGTTTCTGGGTAGGGAAGGCAAAAAAAGGGATTTTAGAGCAAAACCTGCCTTTCTGACTTTGAATGCAAAAGATGCACAGCTAAAAAGATGCTGTCATCTTTTTCATGTTTTCTTTTCCTTAAACACTTGACACAATTTGCTCTTCTACAGTTTATTTTTTCCTTATATAACAAATGTGTTGGGTTTTTTTAGTCCATTTCTTTGTGGAAAATTTCATATCCCGAGTATGCAGTGCGACTTTGCTTCATCAAACAGTTGAAATGATGATATCTTTATGAATAGTTTCTGTTAATTGCAGTTGTCAAAAATTGAACTTCGCAAGAAAAATTCCAAATATTAGAAATTATATATGGTGTATTACCATTACTGGTTTTTTGTTGGTTTATTTTTTCCTATTGGAAGTCGTAGGTCCCTGTCTTTTCTGTCCAAAACCAACTGTTTTGAAATATCAAAACAAATCCTTTTTTTGCTGTAGTGTTAATGGTGGCAGTGCTGGTAAAATAGAAATGAAGTACACCATTTAGAAGAAGAAACTGGGTTGGAGGGGAAAAACTGAGAAGGTTTCTGGTCTTTTGGATTTTAGTTCATCAGTTGGTAAAACTTTTTAGATTCTACATCTCATAATTGTACAGTGTATTAGAACATTGTGGACCATCTTTTAGATTGCTTGTATAGAATATGAAGTATATGAACCAAGTAGCTGCTGTTGTACTTTAATGCTGTTTTACGTATGTATTCAAGGTGTTGGAGAGAATGCATGTGCAAAGAAAAGTCATGAAAAGTACCTCATTGCTTTGAAAGGCTCTGGACTGGCATTTCCTGAGGATAAAATTGCATGTGGTATGCAGGAACAAGGAGCTGGAACTAGCACATTAGCAGTTCAAGGTTTGTGTAGAAAAATATTTTAAGCGAAGACTTGATTATTGCTGGGTTTTATATAAACTGTTCTATTAGTTTATATTTTTAAAAAAATCAAATCGTAGTGAAACTGAAGGAACTACCTGTTATTTAGTACACCACCAAATTACAGGACACTCATTTTAATTCTATCAACAAAGCTAAACGTGTTAACTTTTTGTTGCTAATATACTAAGCATCATTTCCCAGTCATAGCATTAGTGGAATTTGAGTAGGCAAGATGAAATTGCTCGTAGTGGAATTTTGTCACTGCAACTAAGTAAGCCACCTATTCTTACAAAAGTGCTGTGGATTTTTTTTGATCACTGAAGGCCATCAGAGTTTTTTGCAATTTCTGAAAGAACGCGTCTCCCTTAACTCAGTACATTGAAGTTCTGCAATGGAACATAGTTGCAAATCCCTAATTTTGTATCGCTTGGAAATCTTACTCCAACTTCTCAGTCCACTGCTGTGTATCTTTTAAAGAAAGTTAATGTAGTGTTTCATTCCATACTGGCACATTAAATATCGTAAAATACTCTCTTTTCAGTATAAGACTTATGAAAGGAATCTCTGAATTTTTTTATTTCAAAAGGTTTAGCAGGTGCTACGGCAACATCAGGACAAGGGGATTCTTCAGATGAGGTGAGACTGTTTTTAAAGACTATAATGAACTGCAGCAGAATATTAAATGGAGAGTATGCTTGCAACCACATCCCACAAACCTTAATCCTTCTATCTACCACATATTCTCTCCATTAAAAATAATGGAGATACGAAGGAATAGATCTTATGCCTTTGATTTACTAAGGACCTCTTGAACAATCCTTATTTTTGCTAATACTGTTTCAGTTTAATTTATGTATTTAATGTAGAAGAAACTTGTGTAGGTAGTTCAAAAGTCACTATCAAGTAAATTGGGCTTGATTAAAACAAAATTAAAGCATGTGATGCTGTGAGTAGTGTTAGCAGTTTTTGGCACTGGAGAATCCAGCTGAACTGGTGATAGCAGCAGTGAGAATTTCTCTGTAGATAAATTCACATGACTTGACCTTACTTACCAAACACATTGAGTGGGAGTAAAAAGGAGGGAATCTCCTTTTAGATTGAGCTGTAATGGAGGAAAGTTAAATTCTGGTAGAGTTACTTTATCAATTTATTCTCTTCCCCCCCCCCTATTATTTAAAACCTAATTTCAAGTAGTAAGCCTTAGTAGCCATTCTGGTAGGGTAGTATAAAAAACTTTAAATAATGTGAAGTATAGTTTTTATTACAATTTTTGCTTACATTGAATTCTATGTGAGCAAGTACTCAAGTGAAAACAATTGTTCGTGTGTGTCTAAAACAGTTGTATGACATGTTTGCCTCTGTCACGAGCACAACAGCATCTGTTACACTTTCAGCAGTGCTATTTATAATTTGGCATTTTTCAAAGTATTGCTTGTTGTTTTTTCACCATCGCTTGATAAACAAACAGGAGAAAAAAAAAAACTGTGAAAGACTGCTGACATTATCACTTTTAAGGCCCATGAAAGAAGGCAATTCAAGGTAATGTTAATAACCTCAAGTAGTATTTTCAAACAAACTTAAAATGGCTCAGCATGCTTCTTTGTTTTACCCCCGTAAGTGATGAGGAGAGGGGAATAAACTGAGGTTGTTAAGAGTCTGAAGAGAGATTGGATATCGCTGACTTTTCTTTGGGGAAAGAAGTCCAAGAGGGAGGTAGAGACCTGTATTTTAGGGAGAAGGAATTTTTTGTCAGGAAAAGACCATGTTTTCAAGAAAAAGATATTTTATGAGTAAGAAAGGGAGGAATTATAGCAACTGTATTATAGCTTGCTAGTTAAAGGTGTCTTATTTTCTAGAGAGATTTTTCTTTCTGATCTCCAGAATATAAAAATACATTTAGGTATTTTATTATGTTACTGCAGATGTGGTTTTTCTAAGTTGAATTTCTGCATATACTTATATACCTAGAATCAATTTTAAGATGTTAATTACATTATTAAGATACATTGTAAAAGAGCACAAGACCCTATTTTGAAATCTGTATTTAGAAAATTTTAAAAAAGAATGAGGAAGTAACATGCAGATAAAACAATAAGCACTCAAAATTTAAATGTTTTTTAGCATGTATTTTCACTTCTGAATTTCCCTTTCATATCTTTAATAAAATCACATTGTTACAGTATGGGATGCAATTAAAAATAATGTCAAAAATTTCTTTTTTTTTTTTCTTAAACAAAAAAAAACATCAGTTAGTAGCATCTCCGAATAAAGTTAATTTTTTATTTTATAATCTTTTTCTTAATCATGGTCTGCTTGACAAATATGAATTGCTGAAAAGAAAGTCCAGTCCTTTCATCCAAAAGCCAAAACGGAACTCTGTAGGTGGAAGGCTGAAATGGTTGTTAGAAAAATTATGTTACTAGAGAAATGCTTCCTAGAGAAATGAGGGAAAAGTTACCTTGTTTTATGACTTCTCTTCCTCTCCCCTGCCCTCCCCCTGTAAGTTACAAAGCATTTACAGCTTGCTTTATGCCTTATTATACGCTCTTATAGCACAGTTAAACTATGTTCTAATTAAGAAAGGTGGCAAGAGTACTCTTTTAACTGGATTTTCTTCCTCTGGTATTTAAGATTAATCTAGAAAGGTTACTGTTCTTACCAAGTAAGTCTTGAAGGTGGTATTGTTTCACAGATGAAAGGCTAGATTACAAAATTTACAAAATAGGCTACAAATTAGAGCAGTGTTTCTGCAGGGCACTAAAGAGCTTGAAAGGTTTTGCATAGTTCAGTGTTTAGTTTCACTTCTACAATAGATGGTTCTAAGCTAAAAATGAATCTGAAGGATGGATGTATCCTGAGATACGTGTTGTGGGTTGTTTTGTTAGATTTTGTAAAGTGGTGGTGATAATGCCTTTGACTTGCATTGCATTTTGGAACCTTTGCTGTTTTGTTTGCAGAGTGCCTTGAAAGCTTCAGATGACAAGTGCCTGCATAAAGTGTTTCTATTATTCTGTAGGGAACAAACAATTAGAATTCGGCAATTAGAATTGTCCTGTTAAAGGTGTCAAAAATATTTTATTCTTGCATCAAAACTTTATATTGATTAGAAAATGTCTAGCTAATTGTCTGCGTTGCCAACTTCAATAGCCAATGTGTTGGCTGATATTTTTTTTAGGAAACAAAAAACCGCAAACCCTACAGATGAATAAAGGTGAAACCTTGGATGTGCAAGAGTTAGAAATTTTGTAGTGTTAAACATTTTTGTAGCAATCCGTTTCAGAAATCAAAGCAAGTAACTTTACAAAATTAATTAAATAGATGAAGATGTCTGAACTTGCAGATGATAATGTTGCCTGTAGGGGAAAAAAGGCAATTTAAAAAATTGTGTTTTTTCTGATGAGTTGCATGGAGTCCATGGTTCCTGTAAACAGTAAAAGCATTTTTCTGGTAAGAGAGTATATTTAGGGCTTTTCTGTTTTAGCTTGATAGTTAAACCAGAATTTTGAGAGCATACCATCTCTTGGCAATAAAATTCTAAATATACGATTATCAATTTTTTAAACTCTTCCCCTACCCCAGGAGGACCAGGATGGTAGCCAAGGTGTGGGCAAGCGCAAGAGGGTGAAACTAAGCAGCACCACCAAAGGTATTTATAAAGTACTGATCTCAGTTTTTGATTTATGTCTATCTTAAAAATTATCTAGGGATATTCATTCACTTCCCAAGCACTGTATAGTGCTGCATGTGACAGGTATTAAACATAGCAAAGTTTTAAAAAAGAGTGGCAAGTGATATTGTGGTATTGGCAGCTTTGATTTCTCTTGAGTGAGTGCCACTGTCTGGGACTCTGTTTGACCAGTCATTTTGTCACCTTCATGTCGTAAGTTGACCTCTAAAAATTCATTCCATTTTCACTGTATGGCTGGCAAGGTTGCAATACAGCTTAGCAAACAAAGTTTTTGATGTACCTGTTCTTAACAAATTTTTTTCATTATACCACTGTACAGTATGATTGTGTTCTTAGCCAGGCAAGAATGGTTCTCTCTGGTTCTGGTTGGTCTTTCTGAACTGTTCTAGTAATGTTTAAGAAAAGATACTTGAATGAAGTCTCCTTTGAAACCACTCCATTATTGTCCCAGCTTGAACTTAGTCCTCTGTGCAATTTCTAGTCCAACATGAGCAGCACTCACATTGAGATCAGTGCAAGTTTTAATTCAAGAATGAACGTAGGCCAGAGACAAGGTAGCCTTATCCTGTGCTTGTCCTTGACATGTTTTTGTGCTAAAAAGTGTTTAAACAATAATATTTAAACTGTTATTATTAAATAAAGAACACTTTTTTTGTTGTTGTTTTTTTAATATGAGTGTGAGGAGACTGACATAGGAAGCACAAAGAAATTGCAAGCCCTGAGAAAAGAACATTGGGGTGAAAACCTGTGCTGAAAGTTGGAATAAAATTTCTGGAAAGGCTTTGGAGTGAAGGTTTGGAACTTGAATTTGAAATGCAAGGGTTCATGAAGTCAGTAAAAAGGTATGAAGGTGTTGTGAGGAGTATGGGAAAGTAAGATTGATTGTTTCTAGTGGTTTCAGATTGAAGGAAAAAGACTGGGAAGCTGGAAAGGCAGAGAACTAAATGTTTTGGCAATGGTCTCATTAAGAGGTCATCTTAGAAATGGTGTTTGAAAGATTGTGGCAGAGAATAATAATGTGGAAGAGGTGGTAGTTTTGGAGAAATGCAGGAAACTTACAGACATCCGAGGAAAGCTCTCTAATTTTAGAGGGTGTTAGCTTGTCTAAAACATAAGTTAGAGTCAGGTAATGCAAGAAAAAAATGCTGGTTTTCTGATGTATGATTACTGATTATGGGAAATAGGCAGAGAGGAAGCTCAGGTTGAGATGCCAGATCTGAAAACCAGTATCAGCAGTGGCATTTCAGGAAAGGTGACACTTTAATTCAACATTTCATTTCCCCCCCAGGGATTGTAGTCTTCCCCCTCTGAGGCATCCCAACATGGACTGTGCTCATGATGTTGATAGCTCCTAATATCAGCCCCAGAGGAGGGAGTCTGCCAATGGGGGAAGGGTAAGTATCTGTTTTTATTAAATATTGAATAGTTTTCTGAAGTTTTCAGTATTCATATTTTATGTCCAATAGGGTATAAAATAAGAGTATGAAAAGAAAATTTTAGAAAACTGAGTATTGAATAAAAACAGATTTACCTTTTCCGTATAAGCAGACTCCCTGTCCCATCCTAGGTCTTTAGTGGTACTGTCTTCTTCATAGAGGGTTATTTATATACTGGAGATATCTTGGAATGCTAAGACTCATATTCCTGAGAGATGTTTATAACAGTCTATGTGGTCTTCTGTGGCACTAGGAAAAAATAAAAGGTTTCTTTAAAGAAAATACAGGTTTTATGCTGAGGTTCACTGATACAGGTATGGGACTGAGTATTGAGAGAATTTTTATTTTTACTCTGTCTTAAAAGGTGCATCCTGCATCCATCTGAAATACCTGATGCGTAAGACAATTTTAAACCCACAGGCACTATGGTTTTGGGGTTTTTTTATTTGTTGAAAGAAATTTAAAATAATGTGGTGCTTTTCAAAAGAGTGGGAACATTAGTCCCAGTGTTCTTGACAAATTTTCCAAGGTGGGTAAGAGCATTCTGCCTACTTAAATTCTGTAGCAGGTATAAGTGGATATATATTCTTCTGTCCCTGCCTGAAACTGCTGTATAAAGAATTTGATATGCACTGTTCAACTGTGATACCTGTCAGAGAAAGCTGCACATCAATGACAAATATGGTGTTGTGTCACTTGTCTTCATGCCCAGTGTTCTCAGTCAGAGCCATTTGGCATGTACCTAAACCTGTGCCGTCTGTTCTATGGACAGAGGACTTGAGTCTGCATGGCTACCAAGCTTTCATGGGCAGTAAAATCACATACGCAATTTCTTAACAAGAGACGGGGAAGAGAACATAAATGATCATCATATGTTTGCTGCAGTAGGTGATGTGTAATGCTTTACAAAATATTTTAATATTGAAATATCTTTCATGACTCTCTGAAGGTAATTTTTTATTTCAACGCTTGTAGAATATATTGAATAAAACATGTTCTTGTCTTTGTGTGGCTTGCTAAAGTCTTGAGGAGATCCCTAAAATTTAAATTATTAATTATTTCTCATGATCTTTTGCAATTCCTGAGATGTTTTGGGCTGATTGGTCACTTGGCTGGGGAACTCTGACCTGTGGCAATGGTGGAAAACGGAAGTAATTCCCGCTTAGGAAAAGCGCAGATGGCTATCCTGCTTAGGATAGGCACAAAGCTATCCAGCGCAGTTCCTAAAGCTGTCGTACTTCAGTGAAGAGGCGAGGCTTCAAGGCCAGAAGAAGTTCAGCCTAAGTGTTTCTTGAGTCTGTGCTGATGGGAGTGCTTCATGCAGTCCTACTGGAATATGGGATTTTGTGTGGGGAGGTATATCCTCAGGTCTAGTTGATTTCTAGGTATAAAGGAGCATTATTATTATTTTCTTTAGTCCTTGTATGTTACAAGAGTGAACAATGCCTGTTGTAGTTTTAAATCATAAATAACCGACTTCTTGAAGAAGGATGATAAAGTCTTTATATTATAGTAATTTTTTTTTAAATGGGGTTATTATGATTTATGCTCTGTCAAGTCATTGCTTCATGAACAGTTTATTGTAGCAGAGGTCAGTTTGTGCAGCTTTGCAATCACAAAACTGATCTGCTTGAAGATGCAGCTGACAGAATGGAAAGATGACTTGATTCCTACGTAGGTACCCTACAGCGATGTGCTGTCAGCATAAGTAAGGGGGCAGAGTGAGTGGTCAGGAGTTGAACAGGGAAAGATGAGACTGTCTCTTCTGCTACCATCGGGAGCTAGTGCCTGATTATCTGATTATGGTAATTTTTATATTAAAAAAAACCCAACCAACCAAACAGAAACTTTGTTGTTGGTCAATCAGTACATATATTGCTTTAAAAATAAGAATAACTGATACATTATTGCTTCTATTTAATTTGTTTAGAGCTATGTAAACAGAACGCAAGTGTTCTTAGGTGACAGAACTCATCAGTTAATCATAAATTGTATTTTGTTGTTTTGCTATTTTAACTTCCAGCTAAGTAGTAGTCCACACAAACAGTTTCCCTCGATTAAGAGGCTGTGTAAAAAATGTGCAAATTGCTGTGACTCATTACAATCAGTGGAGCTGTTACAATAAGGTGATACGATTCAATGCAATCAATGAAGACTGGACTCTGTGGTAGAATTGTACTGAAAACTTTCGTCCTTTTTATTGTTACAGACTCTGACACTGTGCAGTGTTGGCCATGTTCATTCTCCCAGTGTTTTTGGAAAAAAAACCCTATTTACAGAGCGCACTAAGATGTTCTTAAATTTCTGTTACTGAATTTTATATAAGACAGTGCAACTGCACTATCATTATCTTTAAATAATTACTACATTACACATCCCCTCCTCCAACCTTTTATGCAGATCAGTCTATCATGGATGTTTTGAAGCATAAATGTTTTCTAGAAGAATTATTATTTTGGACAATAAAATATGAGTTTCCACAGAAGATGGTGACTTTCTTACTCAACATGCTGCCAGATCAAGATTATAAGGTACTTGCCTTACTTCATTCAAACTTAAATGTCTTTTCTTATTCACATACTTAGTGTGTATTATGCGTTGCATGAGACCACATATGTTTATATTTGAATAAGAAGCAGTAAAATAATGCAGATCTTTTACCTTGTTTTGAGTATTTGGTTAGAAGGTCTAAAGTGTATAGTATTTGAAGAGAGATGCGGACAAAGCAAGATGGATAATTCTGGAGCAGCAGTATTAATTTTGTTCTCATGGTTTGCTTTTCTCCTTTTTGTCTGCTAGTGCATATTTGCACGTGTCAAATTTTGTTTTATTTTATTTTACTTTGTAAATTAGATTTTTATCAGTTAAAAGATGTAGATTGGCACTAAATGATTCTGTAGTGTGATATGACTGATAAATAATTGCGGTGACTTCATTCCTGTTGCAACTGTAGTAGGCAGTGGTTTCTCCATGTAGGCCATTACAGTGTGTGAGTGTTCTTGCTGCAGCTATGCCCTAGGTGATTTTGGCAGCCTTCCAGCTGCTTCCTTACAGAGTTTTGCAGTTGTCCATACCAAGCGTCTCCTGGCCTGGAGTCATGGAGACTGGATGTCATCTTCCTGTTTTAAATCTTGGTGTGCAGCCAGGTTTGGTTGTTTGCTCTCCATGTTCCAAGACCAAGTATACATAGCAATCAGGCTTAACATTTTGCTCTGATCATGTCATACCTTTGAACCATGCAAATATTTTGGACCTTCTCAATCCCTGCTGGGAGGCAAAGATCAAGAAATCCTGAAGTCCAGGCACGCAGATTTCTTCAAAAATGTCTGTTTATAATGGGACAGCCCTGTATTTGTGCCCCTTTAAAACCTTGCTGTTTCAAAGCAAAGGATATCAAGATAAGTTGCAAGGAAGAAAAAGATAAGATACGGGCTTTCAGCAAGACTCTGTCCATGTCAAGACAGCATTTTGATTTGGGATACCAGCATAGATTCATCATGATCTCAGATTCAGCTAATACATGAGGAGACATGAGGACTTCTTGACTGATGATCCCTTGCCATGAAGCTTGAATTCTTCTTGATATTTGGAGACCTGTGTGGACATCCAGTTCTCCTGATCCATTGCCAGCAAAACTCCTTCCTGTAAAAACACCCAACTGCTAGCAGCATGTGGAGGAGTCTGGTAAGTGTTGCCATGCTTACCTTTTTACCATACCATGTAGTAACAACAACTTTTAATGATCATGGGATCTTTTTTCCTTTGACAACAAGTCACAGTCTTCAGAGGCTTTCTTCACTCTGTACTCAGAATGGAGACCATGGTATATTTGGTTTCTCTACTGGCTGCCACCTTTATGTGTAAATAGTCCACCCTCCACCTAGCAATCCTGTATGTTCAGATGAAAGGATTATTTAAACATTCCTTTTTAATTTTTTTTGTTACCAATTTCATATTGTGTTTCACTAAACAGTTAATTCCTATGTACAAACTTTGTTACTAGCACAAATCCTAAGTATTTGAAATCTTTTAGAATCTGTGTTTTATTTTAGTTGCTGTGGTTGTCCAAAAGGTATTTTTCAGTAGTAAGGAAACTCAGAGCAGGAAATGTATCGCACAGCAATGCTAGGGAGGCAGCAACACTACTTTTTCCCAAGATACCTGTGCTTTGTTGCAAAACTGTGTCGATGATGCATGAATTTTAAACATGTCTGTGAGGCTTGTGGCTAACTTGCAAGGAGTAGCTCTGCCTTTTACATGTGTACAGAGAGAACATACCATTTCGCAATGAATTAAAAGAATGTTTTGTCTTTCAAGCTTCCATTTAGCTTTTATGAAGGAAAAGCTTGTTTGCTGTTTAATCATGTTGTATTCTCACAGTAGGAACACCTGTAGAGATGTAAACTTTTCCAAGTGATCTCTCAGCTTTCTGTTACTGTCTCCTATCCCATCTACACCACATGTACTGTCTTAATTTTTTCTGTCTCTGCTATTGTGCAATTTGTCTGATTCTTCATGAGCTGATTTAGCTCATTAAAACAGCAGAATTCTGCTAGGTTGGTTTTCTGATAAACTGAGTGAGCTAGCCAGACACAGAGCACAGAGCTGGCTATCTGTGCATGCTCTGAAATTGTTGGAATCTCTGACCTCCAGCGTGAATGTAGTAGAGCTGACTGAATCCACCATGCCCTATGCAGCAGTCAGTGAGCCACCAGCAATCTCTGTTGCAGTTTTATTTTTAAATAGGAAAACAAACTTCTCCTTTAAGATTGCCAGTATCGAAAAGAGGTGTTGAAAGTGGTGGGCTAAAACCCTATCTCTTCCCTCGCTCCCTGCTTTTGCATATGAGAGAAACAGTACAACAAACAGTGTGGTTTTTGCCTTACAGGATTTGTGCCTGAGGCATCCCTTCCAGCACTCTCTGACATTTGAAGCTTGGAAGACTTACAAGCGAAGAAAACAGAAGAGAAATTTACTGGAGCTTCCAAGAAAGTAGAGGTGTTATGGTGTGGACAAGGTTTCTGGAAGAGGAAGAGCAAAGGGCCAGAGGAATAGGACTGACCTTCATGAGACCAAGGAAAAGGCAAAGAAGGGGTTGGCAATAAAAAGGAAGCTGATGGAAGAGTGTAAATCATCCAAGAGCAGAGCCTTGCTGAAATCTGGAATACTGGAAGTAGAGAAATGCAAAAGCATCTGGCACAGATAATGAATCAACAAACATAACTAACAGAAATGCTGTGCCTCATCAGGCATCTCCCATAGTGAACATTGAGGCAGTTATTGCAGCAATAGGACTTCACTAACCCCTGGATATGCTGTTCCACAAATTCTGTAGAACAGTTTTTCTATTGGAAACTGAATTTTAGCACAGCTTTCACCTGGCAGAACGATCTTTTTCTTTGCATTGAAAACATAAACATAGGAGATGCAAGTTCTAACTGAAACATGGGGTTGATGTTAGGCTCCTAAAAGTTTTGGGATTGTTGAGTGGCCATGAAGAGGAAAGGCTGGATGAAAAAATTTAAGTTTATTTTTACATAGGCTAGAAATCTAGAAGCTGCACAAGATCATCGAGAGTAAGTCAGTGAAGGTAATTAAATATACAGAAAACATGTCTGTCTTAGGAAGCCACTTCTTGCAAATGGCTAGAAGCTGAGTAATTATTTGGAAAGATGTGTTATGTCGATATCTGCATTCTTGCTCCGTTCTGTATTTTTCCTTAGTTGTGTATATAGCTTTAGCCACTCAGAGACAGGATACTGAGCTAGATGGGAGACCTTATGGCTCTCTACAGCTACCTGAAAGGAGGTTGTAGTGAGGTGGGTGTTGGTCTCTTCTCCCAAGTAGCTAGCGATAGGACAAGAGGAAATGGGCTCAAGCTGCACCAGGGGAGGTTTAGATTGGATATTAGGAGAAATTTCTTCACAGAGAGGGTAGTCAAGCATTGGAACAGGCTGCCCAGAGAGGTGGTGGAGTCACCATCCCTGGAAGCGTTCAAAAAACAGGTAGACATGGCACTCTGGGACATGGTTTAGTCTAGTCTACCCTTGATTGGTTTAGTGTGGACTTGGTAATGTAGGTTAATGGTTGGACTGGATGATCTTAAAGGTCTTTTCCAGCCTAAACGATTCTATGATTCTATGGACTGATTTGACCTACTATGGCTGTTTTTGTATATGGACTGCAGTTTACCACAGTATTTCAGCATTTTAACTTCTGGAAATGAGTTTCGTTTCTTCCTTTCAAAATTGAAAAGGTTGTATTTGTTTGTTTAACTTCCAAGTGAATGTAGGAGTAAAGCTGATGACTTTTCTTTATTTAAGTGTATTCTAGAATCTCTATCATTACACTATATTGGCAGAGAATCTACAGTACTTTCAGAACTTCAACTGCCTCACCAATATACAATAAAGTTTTGATGGTGCTGATTTGAAATAAATAAATAAGAAATCCAAAATTTGTCCTTAGAGGAGGACCATGTTTTTGCAATCAACTTGAATTGAGAATGCTGTGTAAAACAACTAAAACATAGTTCCTACATCACAGAACCTGAGAATCCTATTCAAACAATACAATATGAAGAAGTGTAATATGTAAATGAAGTATACTTTTTTTACTAGCAGCATTAATATACTTCTTAAAATATCAGGTGCATCATTTGTGTCTGAGGCTTAACATTAATAGTGTAAACATCTTGATATTTGTTATAAGTGACATTGCCAGCGACTAAAGTTGTATCAAGCTTTAATTTAAAGCAAATTACGTGATAGGTTGTTCTGCCTTGGAATACCAGAGTAATGTGTATTAACTCTGTGCAAGTATTGCAGATATGTGGTTCCAAAAAGGCTTTAGCTGAAAACAGTTACCATTGTGCTGGCTGCTGTACGTAGAAGACACTTGCAATTATTATACAGGTTTCCATCATTATGAACCAGCTAAAGGAAGGCAAGTTAAGAAGTGGTGTAGTGTTCCCTGCAGTGACATCCCCGTCCCCACCCTGGTCCATTTTTTTGCATGAGCAACTTTATTTTTGAGGATATTTGCTGGAAGAAGCAGTCTTTGTGCCCAACAGCAGCGTTATGGCATTATATTTTTGGCAATATTTTCTAAATGAGAATAACATGGTAATGCTGTTATAAAAATATGGGAGCACTGAGTCTGAGGCAGGTGAAATGAAGTAGTGATTTGTATACAGTCTGGTGAAAACACAGCTGCCTGAGGGTGGTTTTAAAATTTCTAATTTTATGCTTATGAAAGATTAATACTTCCAGAAGGAATAGACAGGGGATTTTAGACTTTGAGCTGAAAATTTTCATCACTACACAGCTTGTATTATCTCTTCTTATTAAGCCAAGGAAGTCCAGATGGTGTTAATTCAGAACTTTAAGTACTAAGTGAGAAGTGATTTCAAAGCTGGCAGATATGCACACATGTATATGCGGTGCAGAAGGTTGGTCTACAATGCAGTTTGAGGCTAATGGGGTGGGACAAGAAATTGTGCTAAGATTTGTGTGTGTGTGTGTGTGTGCGCGCGTATGTATTGATAAATTTACATACCGATCTGGTTTAAAAAAACCCAGACAGTTGTGTGGAGAATAGCAAAGCTTGCTAATGACTTCAATCTTCAGCGCTTGCTCCTAAATAATTAATTAAAAAAATATAGGGTGTTACGACAGCAGATGAAATTCGGTGTTGAAATGTCATCATTGACAGATGAATGAAAACCTTACTATATGGGTACACGAGTGCAAGTGGTAAGTGAAGGCAGCTTTATTAGGTACCACTAATGCCATTGTTCATAGTATATCATTTTGGGACATTAGTCCTTGTTTTAGGATGTAAAAAATTTAGGGTAAATTCATTCTTAGAACTTTACTGCTTTCACAGATATGCTGAGACCTTATAGTCTCAACGTTTCTGGTTTTGGTTTTTTTTAGTGGGGGAAGTACAGAATGAGAAGATTAGGTTTGAGTGTAAGGTAATAAAATTGGAGGCATAAGTTACCTCTCCCTATAGAAAGGTCTTTTCATTTGGAGTGTTTCTAGAAACTAGACATGGGATAGTTAGACCATCACTTTTGGTTTGTCATGGCAACTAGTGTTTCCTAGGATATGTTGATTGTACTTTTGTAAAGGAATATTTTATAATGAAAGCAAGCTATAATTTTTCTATGGTGCTTGTTAACATCAAAACTTCTTTATAATTTGCAGATTGCTTTTACCAAAACTTTTGTTCAGCATTATGCTTTTATTATGAAAACACTGAAGAAAAGCCATGAATCAGACACAATGTCTAATAGAATTGTGCATATCAGTGTTCAGTTGTTCAGCAATGAAGAACTAGCACGCCAAGTAACAGAAGAATGTCAGCTGCTGGATATTATGGTCACTGTTCTGTTATATATGATGGAAAGTTGCCTTATTAAAAGTGAATTGCAAGGTAGGTTGATTTGTTTGTTTATTTACTTATTTCCATGGATAATAAATTGATTATAGAGGAAATTTAGTATCTTTGGTAGTCAATCCACCCCCAACCTCTTCCCAAAAATGCACAGGATCTAGCAATGTATGGTAGAGGATGAATCTCAAAATTTCCTAGAAATGTGAGGATAGTTATCAAAAATGATACTGATGTTTTATCCTTTGGTTTGTAGGGTTTTTTTTTTTTTGTAGGAATGTTATACAGTTTATAATACAAAGAATTATCTTGCAGGTGCTTCATTTGTTGGGCAGAGTGCATAAACACTATTTATGAAGCTCATTGGAATGAGAAATTATATATGCAAATTGAGACCTTTATTAATTTGAAAAAAAAATTCAAAGTATTTCACAAGCTATTTGAAGTGTTTAAAATGGTTTTAATTTTTCTCACCTGTGATTGCCTTAATAAAACTTGATATAATTAGAGGAGAATGATTTAAAACTTTGTAAACATGATCATTTGATCAGGCTTTTGGTTGACAGAGTGGCCATTTGAATTTGAACTAACGTGTACTGTGTAACTTTGCTAGTGAAAACAGCTGTCCTATTTCTAAGCTCGTGTTTTACCTGTCCCTATCTGAAAGTGGTGGCAAAGCGAATCTTGCTGACTTCTGTTTTACACGCTTTCATGTACCTAACAGACTGCAGACCTCTCAGCCCTCTTTATCCTAGTTTGCATTTGAAAATACTCTCTAGATAGGCTGACTGCTGCCGCCAAATAAGTATCATCAACTTCTGCATGAAATAGTAATTTTTCTTATCTGAAGTATCCTTTGTCTCTGAGTCCGCTCTACGTGTAGCCTAATACAGAATGACTCTACTGAAATGGGAAATCCTCAGTCATCTAGCTATAAAGAGTGCCCTCATCCAGCTGCACTTTAGCATGAGAAATTTTTCTGTTGCCCTACATAGATTGCTTTACAGTATTCAAAGAAAAATGTTGAATCTTTCTCTTTAACAGTTTGTATATCAAGTGACTTTTGCTAAATTGATGCCATATTGGTGGAATGTCATTTAAAACTACTTTCCAGTAGTTGTTTTTACTTGTTGGTCAGTATGGAATGTTGCTAGCAGGGTGGTAAGGTTCTGTAATGGATGAGAATTTGCAGCCAAACAGAAGGCAGCTGTGACTGTGATTAGGCATTCTCTGAAGAAACTTCCTGATAATTATGTAAGCTGGAGCTGGTAAGTTAAGTAGCATCAGATATATTTCTGACAGATTTGTAAGAAAAGACTTACCCCTGGAGCAGCTATCCCAAGACATGAAGTTACCTGTTTTCTTTCCCCAGCACCAGTGATTTGTCTTAGCTAAGACTCCACCATGGAACTGTCCCGTGCTTTTCAGTGTTTTCACAACATTTCCTCCTCACTGCTTTATATATGAGGGGTCAGGCATACTGTGAATTGACAGAAAAATTTTAATAAAACACTTTATTGGTTTTTTCCCCCCTCTCATATTCTCATTGGCCTTCTTTTGCAGTTCTGTGGGCTTGTATCTTGTGTTCAAGGTGTCTTTTATGATGCTGGAAATAGTGAGAAGTCTGTTAGAAGTAGTCTAGGAGAAGTCTGTTAGAAGGTCTAGGAGCAAGGAGAACGTGGAGCAGGAATTGTATCTGCTAAGGCACGTTTAGTTTGCATTGCTCACAGATCCCAATTGTCTTTTGGACAGCTGACACCTGTTAAAAGTATACAGTTCATTAAGGGTGTTTGTGGATGCCAAGTGACAAACTGTTCCTGAAACAGAGTTGACCTAGGAGCTGTGTTGATACCAACTTCAAAAGTGTTACTAGTTCAGCTTACCTCTCTCACACGTGGTATGAAAGGGCAAGGAGGTGAAATATGGGTGCAGATGACAAAACTGGCTCCCTAGGAAGATTTATGTCCCTGTGCTCTTAGAGACTTTTTTCCTCTCTATCAGCACTTTCCTCCTACTCAGCTTTTCATGGGAGAAGAATTTATACCCCAAGGAAAAAGTTTTGGTAATGGTTCATCCTTTAAAAAAAAAAAAAAAAAAACACCACAAAACCACCCCAAAAAACCCAACCCAATTCTTTTCCTTTGACTGACTTTACATTAACCCTGGCTTGCAGAGTACTCTGAATAAGAGGCAATGCCACTGCCAGTTTGAAGTAACTCTGGATTTGTCTGATCTATACTGGGGCAGAGAATTTGCGACATGTAACTGTTGGCTCTTTGCAAAGTCCTTCAGTGGGGTCAGGCAGAGCCAACTGAGATGTTATCCTGTTCTCCGATAAGCTGTGTGAGCACATGGGAACCAAGCAGCTGAGCAACAAGACCTAGTTTCCTTTCTTTGCAGATGTACCAGATAACAAGAGAGAGATTAAAGAGTATTTGATCAACTGTGGCAGAGGAGTTTGAGAAGCTGCGGAGAGTCCTTCTGTCTTCCTGTTCCTTCCAGTGCTTCAGTGTAATAGATAGGAGTCAGTCTTAAGAAATGGAGCTCTATATTACCTTATGGTAACAAGAAGGTATCTGTTCATAGTTGTGTGCAACTCAAGCAGCATATTTTTCAGGATGAAACCTGATCCATTTTTCTGACTGTGCTGTGTTCTTGGGAAGTAAAACTTGTCAAGATCAAAATATTGTATGACTTCAGGTTAGAAAACCTATTGACATAATGGGCAAGAGAGTAATTTTTTTTTTCCTGGTACCAATAAACCAACAAAATAAACAATCTCAGAGTAAAAATTTAAAAAGTATTTTCTTCAGGAGTTAAAGCAAAGGGGAGGAAAAAAGCTTATGTATATACCAAAGAGAACCACTCCAGACACAGATGCGCCTCATCAGCCGGAGGCTGGAGTCTCTTAGTAACAGTGTCTTTTTAGCTATGGCTGTGCCGTACTCCTTATGACCTTTTCATTGTCTAAAGGGTAACTACAATGGTCCTCTGGTGCATTTAAACTGGACAAGAGCGATCCCCAAGGCTGATCATCAGATGCAAGATTTTCTTTCTTCTGCTTGCTTGAAATAGAATAGCAATTGGCAGATGGGTGCTGGAAGTTCCTTGGATTGTGAATTCAGGGCCAATCCTTTTTCCATTCTGGTCTTTCCAGGGGTCCCTCTTATGAAAATCTAATAAAGAGATTTATTTGACAGCGGTAGAGGATGTACTTCTGTGATTTGGGGGGGAGACTTCTACCCCCACCCTGATGACTTCTACCCTTCTTTTGGGAACCTTCTCCTGCCCTAGTCTTGGGAAGGCTGCATAAACCCTCTCTCTGTCCCAGATTCAGAGTGGAAATTATTTTCTCTGCTGTCCTTCTCAGAGTCAACATGCCAGTGTAGGTTTTGATCACCAGATTCCTGTTTGCATGCTGTAAGGTAGCTTGCTCACTGGAAGTGTGTCAAATTCAAAATAGACTCCAGGTGTTCATAATAGGAATTGTGTTGTTTGGTCTTTTTATACTTCTTGTGAGTATTCAAAAAAGGCATAGCTGTGGTGGTTTTACTAATACACTGCTTTTCAAAGGTTGTGATATTGTTCAAAGTATGTGTCTCCTATTAGAGTGGGATCTTTGTTGGTGAGTCCATGACGAGAAAACAGCCCCAGGTACCACAAAACAACCATTCTTCTTTTCTGCAGCTTTCTCTGTGTGTGATTGCAACATTACAGTAAATCCTAATTGGTATTTTTGCATTATCTTGTAACATTATTTAAAAGTTATAACAAGAAGGAAAAAAAAAGTATTATTTTTTCTTTTTTTCTTCTCTAAATCTAGATGAAGAAAATAGTTTACATGTTGTGGTGAATTGTGGGGAAGCACTACTGAAGAATAATACTTACTGGCCGCTGGTTAGTGATTTTATAAACATACTTTCACACCAAAGTGTGGCAAAGAAATTTTTGGAAGATCATGGTCTTTTGGTAACATGGATGAATTTTGTATCATTCTTTCAAGGTATGTGACTTGTATACTCAGTGCTAATACAAGGATGTTAAGACACCTTAATGTTCGCAGTAGCAAAATCCTTACACTGCTGTATGTAAATATTTAATTCATTAGTATTCTCATAAGGCTGTATTCCTGGAAGGGAACAGTATATTCTAGAAAACAAGTAAATTTGAAAATGATCTAATGGATCTTTGTCTTGTGTGGACTAGTTAAAGAGCAATTGTGTCACACTTGACTGAGATTCATGGTGCCAGAATTCTCAGGTTGAACTTAAAGTACAAATCATAACTTGTGCTAGAAGTGTTTTACTGGTAAAGTTTTAAATTTAAATATCAGGTAAACTAATCTGATAAATGTGGATCTTTTCCTAAGTGTTGTTGTGAAGAAACTTTCTTATTATTTTAAAAAATATTTTAAAATAGTTAACTCTTCAATACTGAAAAACATTCTGCCTAGAGAGAGGACCAGATATTTTCCATCCAGATGTTCCCATTGACTAAATGAGGTTCAAAGCAGAAGGGCTGCTGTCCACGTTAATGTCACCTGAACAGCAAGGACTACAGTTACTAGCCAGCCTAGAGCTATTGTTCTTTTTTGGTCTATTTCTGTTCAAACTTTGATGCTTGTTCTCATATTTTATCTATTATTCTGCTGCTAGATAAGACAGATTGTTATACTTTGTGGGTTTTTGTCTTAATAGGTGTGTGGATGCGTAACACTAAAAATACTGCATTCCACTTAGCCCTAGTTAAGTGTTTGGTTGTATAACTCTGCTTAAATCTTTGAAGGTATGAATTTAAATAAACGAGAATTAAATGAGCACGTGGAGTTTGAATCACAGACATACTATGCTGCCTTTGCTGCTGAGCTGGAAGCCTGTGCCCAGCCAATGTGGGGTCTTCTGTCACACTGCAAAGTTAGGGTAAGACTAACACTCCTCTGTCATTGTTCTTGGTTTTTTGCATGATTTATTCTAGAGTTCTCAAATCTGAAAGGTATGTCTGGTTTGTGTTTGAAAAGACTTGGGTTTTGCTATCTTTGTCTGCCAAATATATAAAACTGTGATCAACTCAGATTCTGTGTATAGTGAGTATAGAATTCATGCTTGTACCTAATTTATTGTCTCCAGAACTGGGACTACAAGTTCAGGATGTGTACAGTCATTCCATATGACTGTACATATGGAATAACTTCTAATCTAATGAAGAACTTGGTAAATGTCTCTGAATCATTCTGCCTTTCTTCACTGGGAAAGGACATACATAAGTCATCCCTAATGTGATTATAATGTTGATTGTGTCTGCAAATAGACACTTCATTATGATGAGAGGTGGAGTAATTTATGGTTTTGTGTTGTTTTACTAACAACCTGAGGTGAAACCCTCTTAGGTTCTGACATCTCATGGTCTCCTAACTAGAGCAAGGAGTTGTTACTATTTGGTAGACTGTTGATTATATTAAGTTACAGTAAAAATGGAATCCATCAGCTTATAGGAATACTTAACGTGAAAAAATTTTTATTGGCTATTTTTTATGAAATAAATACTTAGCTTTGAAGCTAGTTTATTAAGATGTGTAATAGTGTATATGAGACAGTAATACCTGAATTGAACTGTGCACTGGAAAAATATGCGCAAGCATAACATGGAATTTTAAAACAGTTTCAATCAGGCAGTTGCATAAGCCTTTCCATGATGTAAGATATACTGATACATTATGAATGTATCAATTTATCAGTCTAAATTATCTTTTGAAAACTGAATTACAGCTTCTGGCTTTTTGAAGTATTCCTTTGTTTTTAGCTTAGGGATGGGAAGGACTGCCTTTTGTTTAAGGCCTGTGTGATTCCTTGCTCCGTCTGTCAGCATGTCAGTCATGCTTTCACCCCCGTGTTTGAGCCCTTTAGTTGTTCTCAGTAAACCTGACAGAGTTTTAGAAATCTCATAGCTTAATTATTGTACTTGTTTAGTGAAACCTGATGGGTGGGAAGAGATTCCAGCTCATGTCCTGCAGGAGAGGGACAGCTAGCAGAGCCTGGCCACCCTAGAGGATGGAGCAGCAGGATGGGAGGTGGCTGTTGTATTTCCTGATGAGAAAAGGTGTCCAAGTGAGCCAGTCAGCACTTGCACAGCTATTGGCTGGCCAAAGTACTGCTGGCTTTTGCATGAGAAGCATTTTACAGGTATCCTAGGAATTGGAGGCAGGTCTGGAGTCTGTGTTTAGGGGGAAGGAAGGATTAAAGGAAAAGTCCGTAAGAAATGAGGCTTTGGAATTGCTCTGTGATCAGCGGAACTTAAGTTTAGCTCCCCTCCCACCTTCCCTTCTTGTGCATCACCACTTCACTCCTGGAGGGCAAAGTACAGCTCTAGTCTTGAAATACATGATTTAATCTGAAATATATTATAATTTCAGGGCGTTGTTACGGAGTTATATCATACAATCATAACAAGGTTTGATTATTGTTAAAATCTATGCAGTATTGTGTTATCATTGCATTGTGTTAGCAAACTGTAAGGACCTTTCAGTAGATAAAACTTAGAGGACATTAGCTATTCCTTTTGATTGCATGGAAAGACTTTTTTTATATGCTTACATCTCTAAATTTTTGTTAAGAATAAATGAATACATTAAACAACAGTAGGCAGTAGGACCAGCTGACCGTTCTGAAGGTGCCTTAATTCTCACCATTGAAATGAGAATCTTTTAGAGTTACAATGAAACCATCTTAATACTTACTAATTTCCATATGATGAGGGCATAAATGATGTACTGTAAAAATATTCTCAAAATAATTTGTAATAGGAAAACTGACACTTAAAACTGTTTTGGCTCGTGTAGTACACTGGTTTCTCTTACTGCAGGAAACGCAGGAATACACACGGAATGTTGTCAGGTACTGCCTTGAAGCGCTTCAGGACTGGTTTGATGCTATCAACTTTGTAGATGAGGTAAATATCCTTAGTGAATCTAAGCAAAGTACTGTGAAAATCTGATTAAACTTCAAAGGTGATACACTCCCCCCTGCCCCTTAAATTAAATCATCATTCTAGGTACTGATTGAAAAAGGATTGCCTTGCTGAAATTAGAGTTTGTAGTTAGTAGTTGCAATGTTATGTCCTAGGATCCTTTATTTGTAGAGTCTTGATGATTTAGATTTGCTGGTGCAAGCTTAAGCTCTGCGGGTCTAAAAGCAGTGCCACTGATGTACTGCTGTTCTGCTGAATGAAGAGCTGAAGCAATGGCAAAACAGAAATCCTCTTCTGATATGGTAGTGGGGAGCAGCTTTGCTACCTTGGCAAGCAATACTCTCAATCAATTCAGTGTGTCATTAGCTACTGGGGGCTTAGTAAGAGATTAACTACAGCAGTCTGAATAAGGGAAATTTCTGAATCATTGGAAAGTGCAGGGGAATGAAGGAATACTACAGTAGTGGAAATTAAGTCCATGAAATGAAGACGTGCAAGATACTGGTTTTGGTGGTTGTGATAAAGACATTTGTAGGTTTGTTTTTTTAATATACGATATTTTAATATCTTTATTTTACTTTCAGCCAGCTCCTAATCAAGTTACTTTTCATTTGCCGCTGCACCGTTACTTTGCCATGTTTTTAAGTAAGGTAAGCGCATGTTTTAGTCACACAGAAGATGGAAATTCCCTGTTGAGTGTGATTGTTCAGTACAGTGTGTGCTTGCTTTTGTTTCTAGGCTGTCAAATGCCAAGAACTAGATCTGGATACCATCTTGCCAGATCAGGAGATGCTGATGAAACTAATGATTCATCCACTTCAGATTCAGGTATGGGCAGACTTCTGACTTCGATGCAGATGTAGAGATATACAACAAAAAAAAAGTTGTTGTCTGATTCTTTTAACCCCAGTTCTAAATATATTTAGAAGTATTTAACAAGGGGGAGTATGTCTTAATCGTGGAATATCAAAATAAGCAATATGTGACAAAAATAACTAGAATATACTGAGTACTTAGGTACTTAGGATAAACTCTTTTTTTCCCTTCCTATTTCCAAAATTAAATATGTGGCATTAGTTATCATACTCTGAGAAGTATGATAATAATATTCACTATAGCACTTTCAAAAGGGTAGGAGGAACCAGCCCTTTGAAAACATGTAATTGCAAGTTCATAGAATAGCTTCCAGTGGAGCACAAGTTGAGAAGAAACCCAAATCTGAAAATTTCATGTTTTCATTGAGAATGAGTTCAAGAATGGAAGCACCCTGCAACATTTTTTTTATTTACAAATTTGTATTTATTTGCATGTAAGTGGTAGTCAGCAGTATTTGTAACAACTGCTTCTATTTCTAACTTCATTTTAACCATGATGCCTTCATCTTGTACTTTCCAAGATTTTAATAAATAAGTACATAAATCACTTCATTGGCTTTGATCACTTTTGTTGTCTGAAATATACTCTCATATGCAAGTGTGGTGTCTGTTTCATAAACTTGCAGTGGTTCCTTTTCATCCCTCGCTCCCCAGAAGTAAATTAGTATAAAAAAGTATACTTTTATATAAAGGTGTAGTGTGTATGTATGTATATGTGTGGTAATATATTGATGATCTGCTAACGTTGAACTGAATAGCTGAATATTCCCAACATGTTAGTAAACTTTTATTTTATTTTACCTCAACAGGCAAGTCTTTCTGAAATTCACAGCAACATGTGGGTTAGAAATGGTCTACAGATTAAAGGACAGGCCATGACTTATGTGCAGTCTCATTTCTGCAATTCAATGATTGATCCTGACATTTATCTGCTGCAAGTAAGTTATGTTTTCTGAGAAGCCAAGCCAATGCTTGTTTACAAACAAACAAACTACTGAATAAAATTAATTTATTCTATTTCCACAGGTCTGTGCCTCTAGGCTGGACCCAGATTATTTTATTTCATCTGTTTTTGAAAGGTAGGGTTAAAAGATTAATGCTCTTGTTCAATGTTGTGCTAGCTGTTGACTAATTTATGCCATGTGAGAGAAACAGTGGATATCTGATATATATCTTCAGTGGTACAACTCTGCCTAGCTGAAACTAACACCTCTTTCAGTAGAGTGCTTGGGTATCTCAAGGTATATACTTGATTTTATACAGCATTGGCTTTTGATTTACAGTGCAGTAGTGAACTTCCAGATGTTTGTTTTCTAGCGTCTTCAGGTTTTTTTAAGTTTTGCACATGTTCATATGCAAGCTTTCAGGAGATGGTAGCCTGAAGAGAGAAATAGAGCTGCAGTAGTAAGAGTCACAGAAAGGTTATCTGCTTTTCTGGATAGAATAAATCAGGATTTGAAAACAGATTAATTTGCATTAGCTTTTGTATGTTCATAAATGTAAGGTGTTTTCATGTGGAGTAAATATCACTATAGCACATTCCATAGGTAGTTAAATAAAAGGGTTTTCATGTATGCATATTACTGCATTATATGCGTTTTATTTTTTATTCATTTTGGGTTGTTGTGAATAGTATGCTGAGTTTATCAGTACATTTCACATTGGTGTTTTAATGTTGGAGAATGATGTTTCTGACTTTACTCTTTGCTATGTAGATTTAAGGTGGTAGATCTGTTAACAATGGCATCACAGCATCAAAATACAGTTCTTGATTCAGAGCATGAAAGGTCCATGTTGGAAGGAGCCTTAACGTTTTTGGTCCTTCTGTTAAGCCTTCGTTTACATTTAGGTAAGAATCACTGCTTTAGGAATACTTGTATGTAAATAACATGCCTGTTCATTTATATTCAACATTTAGTAGCTACCATAAAGCTGATTAGCCATATAGTAACTTATAGCATTCAACACTTGGTTTCATTTTTGCCAGTTACTGAATTTTAATCCCTTATGAATTAGAAATAGACAAAATACATGGAAATGGAGAAAAATTACTTTAATGGAAGTGGCTGATTTGTGTATGCGATCACATGAAGATTCTGTATCTCTTTCAGAAAGACAGCAGTTTTAGTTTGTACCTGTCTTTTCTACCTGAGGATGTCTCTCAACATTTGTGTGTGTGTGTCCCCTTTTCTTTTGCTGTATTTTTATAGCACTATATCATTACTTAATGTTTGTATCAAGCTTAACTTGTGTTTAATGACAAATGTATGCTGAATTTTAAAATCATGCGATTTTAATGGCTTTTTAAATTTATTGTTCTAGGAATGTCAGATGACGAGATCCTCAGAGCAGAGATGGTAGCCCAACTCTGTATGAATGACAGGACACACAGTTCATTATTGGATCTCATATCCTTGGAATATATTAACTAATGTGCATGAGTGAGAATGACAGGTACCTGGACAGTAGTGGGATTTTGGAGCTTGAACAATATGTTTTCAGCTTACATAATTAAAACAAATTGTGTAAAGGTGTGTTTACATGTACTTATCATAAGCAAACTCATTTGCTCCAGCTTTCGTTTTTCTTACAGAATATGCAATACTTTGTAATAGTTTTAAATTAGTTTTGATACAAAATGCTTGACTGCTCTTTTTATTTTTTTTTAACACTACAAAGTCTTTTAGGTGTGAGATGAAAAGTCTCTTTTCCAGTGACACTGTAGAAGGTTAGCCAAGCATCACCTTTATCTGGATTTGAGCCTTTGATTACTGCTAATTTTATGCCAGTATAAGAAAGAAGCCACTCCGTGCTATATTGTCTTTGCTATCAATAGCTGAAAATGCAAATAATAGCAATTCTGAATGCTGCTTTGAAATTAGAGTGAAATGCATGTGTTATGGGAGGAAGTGTCTTGAAGAATAGCAAACTCTAGGAAGTCTTTCTGGGCAGTGATACGGTTCATGTCCCCGGACAGCTGAATACAAATACGCTGGTTTTAGTGCTATCGGTGTATTAAGCTGGGTAGACAAATAAAAATAGCTTGTGGTGATTGCCCAAAAGAGCTTGCAATCCAAGAACAGGCATTGAGCAAAAATACTAGGAATTTATGAAAATAGGAAAGGACAAGATTGAGAGTTACAAATATGTAATAAGAATTATTAATTATTACGATATGACCTAGTAACTTAATCACTTAAGTATGTAAAATAAACGAATCACTTAACTATGTAAAGTAAATCATTTATACAAGCAATCACTGATCATTAAGCAGAAGTTTCCTTATTTGTAATTGTTACTTGTGATTTGGGGTAATGTCAGTAGGTCAATTAAGTATCGCTGCCAAAAATGAGAAATAACCAGTCCAGGATGGAGAATTACTTAGTGTGTTTATGGATCCCAAGCTGTTTACTTGCTTTTTCTGCACTTAGCTGTAAATGCAAAATATTCTTGCTATGAAGAGAGCCAAAGTGTTAGTAGATAAAGGCAAGTACAAAAACTTTATATACACTATAGATGGTTTTTATTTCTCATTTAATACTTAACTCTTGAGCCAAGCATGTAACAATTGGCTTGCTTTAAAAAGTTTAATGTCCTAGCTAAGCAGCTTTAATTCACTTCAGTAATAGTTATTGTTCCATAGCAGCTGGAGCATACAGACCTCTTGTGGTAAACAGAGAGCACTGCTGAAGTGTAGCCTCTGAAATGGGTGACTGAAAATGTCAAGAGGGAGGTAGAATGCTGTGTCCTGCAACTAAGTTAACATTGCTTTCCTTAACACAAACATTACATTCCAGAAAACCCCAATCCTAAAAGTGGTATTATTCCAGGAAGCTTAAGCTTTGAATCAGTATTGTCAGCAGTAGCTGATTTTAAAGCTCCTGTTTTTGAACCTGGAGGTTCCATGCAACAAGGAATGTATACACCTAAAGGTATGGTAATCCGTGTCCTCTTATAACATACTCAGTGGTAAGATGCTTAACCAGAGGTTTCTTTTCTTGGAAAAAAACAAACAAAAAAGCCCACCCCAAAACAACCCAGCAAACAACAATAAAACCCCTGTCCCTACCCGCCCTCCCCCCCCCAAAAACCCACAAAAAAACCCAAACCCAAAACCACCACCGCAAAAAAACCACAAAACTTTTGACTTTTTTCATTAGTTTATTGCTGATATTTAAGAGCATTGCTAAAGACTGTTAATAGTTTTTAATAAATTCATTCTGATCTAGAGTGAAAATGTGCTTCTTGTATTAATCAGGTATCCGTAGAAAGCAAGGGAAAAATGGAGAACTGAAAAATGATGTTATGTGTATTTCACTGATCTGCATACTTAATCGTTCACGTGATTTTAAAAAAATCTGATGTATGTTCAGTAGAGTTTAGAACTGTTTGCAGTAGTGACGTGTCAGTTACAAAGATTTTTTTTCTTTGAACATCTCCACATTTTGATTATTAAAGAGATCATGATACATAATTATTTCTTTTATATTGCCTAACTATCTTAGTAGCCTCTAACGTTTTCCCAGTCAATAGTGAGGGTCTAGAACAAAGTTCAGACTAGACTGGTTATAGAATATTGTTCTCATGCAGTACAAAAATGACCAAGTTTCTTCCCCTGATGAGCTTGTCATCTAAATTAGACTCAACACAGTGTTGGTATATCAAAGGAGAGGAACAATTTAAGAACTCAGTGTTCCATTACTGTTTCCTGTCACTGAGCAGATAAGCCTGTAGGAATCTGAAGTGCTCCATGTGTTCTGGTTGTGCTTCAGCTCATAGCAAAGCTGAAGAGGGATTAACTCCTTCCTCCCCCAGGTACCTCACTTGAGAACTGGCAGGGTCGGGGTCTGACAATTTTGAAACCATTTGGTTTGTAGGCTGTGTTCTTCTGTGGCTATTTTTTTGTTGTTGTTAATGTAAGAACTAATACTGTACTAATTTGTTTGCCAGTTTTCATACTGGGAGATTGAGGAATCAGTGAAGCTCTTACTTTTATACAAATTAACAACTGGTGGAGTAATTTAGTGAAACCAAAGTTTTGGGAATTTATTCATTCTGGTTCCTTGATGTGTAATTAGGTATCTTAACACCTACGTATTTGAAATAACTGTATTTTACTGTTCTGTAAACTGCATTTCCTTATGTCATGTCTGGTTTCTGGAGCTTGTGACATGCTGGTCTTTTTTATAGCACAGTGTGAAGAAAAAAATAGATGGATTATGGTATTTTTAATTATAAGACCTTCTGTTTAGGGAATCTGACAGTAGATTATAGTGTTTTGGGTTTTTTGGTGTTTGGGTTTTTTTTGTTAACATAGCTTACCTATGGAGTAGATTGTTTATCTTAAAAAAACCTTTAAGTATCTCATCTATAGCAGTGAATACTGAAGTAATTCGTAACACTGTGCAGAATCCCTTTTTCTTAAAGTAATAAAAACCTGAAAGAACTTCTGTGGGAATTAAAGCCAGCATGGTTTTCTTGTGTACTGTAGCGTTTTAAGTGCTTATAACCTTTATAAGACTATATAGATTCTCAAAAAGAATGATGGTACTTCAGTTGCTTTTAAGAATTGTAGTTTGCGGCCTGTCACAGTTTTTAAGCAAGTCGTATTGTGATCCATTCCCCCTAATCCCTTGTTTCCCTAAATTGGGGAGGGGGGTGGGGGGTGGGAAGGAAATCTACTTTATGATCTCGGAAGCCCCAGATTTTGCTTCCATTAGCCATTGGGTTAAAAAAAAAAAAACAACCCACAAACAAAAAAAAACCAACAACAAACCAACTTCCAAAAAAAGGGCATAGTTCTTCTTGTTCTCTGTGGATTTGTGTGCTGAAGATGAGCTCTGTGTGCATTTCTAATATTCCCTGTATGGCTCCCTCACTTAGTCCTTTTTCCTCATTGTGCATTAGCAGCCCAGACAAGCTTGGTCTGTGTTTCAGACTGCAATAGTAAACTCTGTCCAGAAAAAATGCATTTTTTGCAAGCTAAGTTTGATCATCTTTCGTACATGGTAGAAACTATGGCAATTGTTCTCTCAGCAGTGTATGAGGGTATCTGTAGAACAGTTAACATTAGCAGGGGTTAATAGGAGTATAGACCACTTGTCTTTCTGCCTGGGGGAAACTAATCTCAAAAGCATGATAAAGCTGCCTACTTCTGCCTGTGAAAACTTTAAAGAATGTTGTAAGTGCTTGCGTTGTGTTACGCCTGCTGGTGGAGCTAAAATTCTGTATCCGTCGATTTTCTTCTTCCTTTGATGGGAACTAGACACTTCCAAACAGTGAACAGAATGAACAGCTTCATTTGGCTTTAGGTTGGAAACTTAGTTTTGTTTTTTAATAACTTGTGAATATAAAAAAAAAGGCAGTTAAATGGGATATCTTTATTTATAGTCTGTTTAGACTTTTCTGTTTGTGATTGCTCTGAAAAGCCACTCTGGATGTTACTTTAGAGCTACTAAATTAAGCAGAGATAACTAAGATTTTAATGCCAAAATAATGCATAGGTGTTAGTTATAAAACAAAGGCTGTTTTATAGTAGTGGATGTCACACAAAAGCAATGTCTGTAAAGGATTGATCACAAATGTTATTTCATAAGAAACTTGGCCGTTTTTGAGACTGAACAAAAAATTGTGGTGTTGTAGTCATTTGGCTCACTGCACTTAATAGTTAAATATCACCTACCTGTTAACTGCTCTGCAGTCTTTACTTACTATTTTCAAGAGGGTTTGTACTTACCAAGTACCAAGCAAAAAATGATGAAAACCTTTTCTTACATGTACTCAGAAATTAAAAAGAGGAAAACAAGATGTGTACGGAAAAGGTGGTTGTTGGGACTGCCTTTGTATACTTACAGTTGGATAAATATATTTACTTAGATTTTAAAATTAATTTGGAATTGTTTTTTTAAAGACTTTCCTCAGCATGTGTTTCAACTGTTATTTTATCAGAAATATGTGATTTTTCTTTTTCTCTTTTATCACATATTGTAAATTAGTATGTAACAGAAAAGAAAGCTAGAAGACACTAAAATAAAGCTTGTTAATAGAAACATCTGTTGCCTTAATAGATTGCTAAATTTTTGGTTTGGAACTAAAAAAATATTTTTGATGAAATTTTGATATCTTGATAAGTAGTAGTAATTGTTAGTGTAGTAAGTATTATTAGTAAGAATTAGTAAAAATAACTGTAGTTCTCTGCAAAAAAAAATTATATAATAGAAAATTATGTAATTAAAGCTAGTTAAGAAGAGAATCTAGAATAAGTTGTAAGGTCTGTAAAGAGAATTTTAACATGTGACTTCTTTTAAACAACAGCTGAAGTTTGGGATAAGGAATTTGACCCTGTCATGGTAATACTTCGAACAGTTTACCGTAGAGATGTGCAGTCTGCAATGGACAGATATACAGCATTGTAAGTTGGATCATTTTTAGAAATGTAACATCATATTGTTGCTCATTGCATAAAAAATTTTTTGTTTTCACTGTCTGGTAATGCTAGTCATGTTATTGACGTTTTCAGGCCCCAGATTTGTCCTTGAGTAAATAGTTTATAAATTTACAGGCAGTGTCAGGGTTCTGGTTAGCCTAGTCTGTTACCCTTCCAAAAATGTTTAAAAATACATCTGAAGTGCCACAGACAAAGTAGTGGATGTCATCACAGATAAAATACTTAACCAAAAGTTAATGTTTAAAAATCAGTTACAAATTACTTGAAGAAAGCAGCCTTATCTGGTTTTATTTATTTTACATTTAGGTACATGAAGCACAGTATTAGAGTGTTGTGTGTTTTGAAATTATATTGAAGACAGTGTGGATTTTTTTCTATGTATTCACCTATGACAGAAACCATGGGTGAATTAAATTCTGATTTAAATACAGGAAAAACCACTCGTGGCACCCTTTTAAGTTCTAAGAAGCAAGGTGATTTGGTCTTAATTCTGTCCCTTAACATTCCATCCCTTACAGCTTCTTACCCTTACAGATTCTTATTTCAGCTAACGTGATTTGGTTCTCTTTTATTTCACACCCTGGGAGTAAAAATCTAGTTTAAAAAACCCTTATAATATACTTAGTGAAATAATCCTCTGTCCCTGTGCTCATTCCATTAAGTCAAAGGGTCATCGTAAATGTATACTGTAAGTGGGTTTGAGCAAGGTAGTTTTCTGTTAAATAATTGCATTGTCTACTGCATTGGATTCCAGCTTGTTATTAGAAATGTGGGTCCATGTCAAACTTAACACTTAACTTTTAAGTTCATAGATATGATAGTGCTGGTACTGTCAACTATAGCTAATTATGTCTAACATTTCCTAGTGTTGCATGTAATTCATTCCTACAGATGTGAGATTTCTATGTTGGATGACTAACGTGGGTTTGGGTGAAGTGAAGAGTTTTCTATCTCTTCTATGTGCCTTTTGGAATGAAAATGGAATTCTTAAATTCATAGCTTAAATTCATAGCAGTAATTAAAAATGCATTTAACATTATAAATAAAGTTTATTTAAATCAGTGGTAATCCACAGAAAAATAAGACTGTATTCAGTTTGTGTATACATTGCAATTCTTGGAATGATGCTTAAATAAATTAAATGGCTTAGAAATGCTCATCAATTCTAAAGTTGGTCTAAACAAAAAGAATGCAGGATAGTTATCTATAACAGTGGTAGTTGTCTATATTATTGCAGTGTTTAGCATAAGTCTCATTTGTTTCAACAGTTTAAAGCAAAGTGGTAAATTCCCTGGGAACCCGTGGCCTCCTTACAAGAAAAGAACACCACTACATCCAAGTTATAAAGGTCTTGTAAAGCTTTTACACTGTAAAACCCTGCACATTGTGCTGTTCACGCTTCTTTACAAGGTACAGTCGTAATTCTCATTAAGTCCAGTATTTTACTTCTACTTTTTCAGAACAGGAGTTACTAGAATTGTGATTTTTTTTTTTTTAATGGATTATTTACAGTAGTCAGGTTCAAATTTATGTAAGGTTTTTAATTTTATTTTATAAGTCTAGTATGATGATGTTTTCCTACCATTTTCATTATTTCATGTATGATTATTTCATATATACGTACAATAAGTCAGGTACCCAAGTGGATGAGCCATCCTACTCTACTTTGAGGAACACTATTTCAACCGTCAGAGTTGCCATTTGAATTGTTATTCCATGATGGTTTTGGGGAGCATGGTGGGGTGAGTGATGTTCCTTTTGGCTCCCACTGCAGAGTTTTTAGGCATCGGCAGCCTTTTCAAATATGTGTAACTTAGATGGAAAATAATCTCATAGCTGCAGTCAGTTCTAACATCACTTCCGAGATACATTCTGGCTTTTGATAATGTTATAGCACTTGTTTCTCAGGGCTAATTGATGCCTTCAAATTGTATTTGGTTTTGTCTTTGATAGTTGGCTGCTCTCTTTAAGAGAAGTGCATCCTTTTTGAAGAGGACATTAATCAGAAAATGGGACTTTGAATCTGTCTGTATTGGAAAGTGCTTTCAAAGCAGTGTGCTGCAGAGGCAGATGAGGGACTATAAAAAGTGGTTTGGTTGAGGCACAGTAGTGCTTTTCCTGGGCAGACTTTCTTTTTGTGGTCTTTTAAGTGCTCCCAGCTCCCCTAAAGCTCTTGTTTTGTTTCACTGTAATATTCACTGTTGAATAGAAACTATCTGTTGTTAAGTGGAGTAATAACTGTGTGGTATTCACAAAGAGCCATGCTTATTCCCACAGAGTTGTTTCAGCTGATTTCTTTCTCTAATGAAGTATCGCATAAGTTGTCAGTGTATCATTAAGATGAATAAAGACTTAAGATTTTACCTGAATTCATTCAATAGATGTCACCTTTATGACAGAAAAGGACTTTTTCTCAAAAGCTTCACATTGCTTACAAATTAATGACTTCAGTAAACTATAGGTTTTGCTACACAATTAGTGCAATTTCAGAAATCTACTTTAAAGATATAAAATATAAAAATTTGACTGTTTTACTACTAATTCTTCCTTACCCATAATAGAATGAGACATGTTACAGTGAAGACTGAATTTCATGTGCAGACACTATAGCTTTTGGAAGCTCAGTAGTACAACATCTAATGGTTGGTCAAGATTTTCCATTGTCAGACATCTAATTCCTTATCTTGCTGAAATTTAACCAATGGCTGACATTTTTCATGCTGAATGCCTGTTCTGGGATGAATTTCCAAGAATGAGGCAAGGACATCCCCTTTTCCCATGTTTTAAACATTCTTTTATCAAGATTCTGGATCTGAATATAGCCAAACTGTAAGCATTGCACAGTTACATTGTGTGCATGTTCAGTGGCTGTTTATTTTGTTCTGTTAACTGCTGAAGTCCCAAGAAAGTCAGCCCCAGACTGGGCATGCCCCACACCAGAGCTAGTTAGAACTTTGCAAGGAGTGGCAGTACCTTGTTTCCCAGGGATTTCCATAATTTTGGCCAGAGAAGCTGCTGTGTGCAGTATATTTAACCCTGCTTAGCCCCAGCTCGCTGCAGGGGCTGGGCTGCCTGATTACTGCAGGGTGAAGTCGTGGTAGTATGCAGTAGAGACTGGAGAAGGAGCATACCTGGAGAAAGTATTAGACAGGAGACTTAGAGGAAGGCTGCTGGAGAAAAGGAGAGTTTGGGATTATGTAGAAGATGAAATAATGTTTTGGCATGGGACAAAAATGGAGAATGCAGGGAGGGAATGCATCACGTTTTACTGTCTTGCTTGGGGCGGGAGGGGGGTTGGCCATTTTTTTCTCCTATTCTGTTAAGAAGCTTCAAGGACTTAAATTTTGAGAATCTTAAAATTTCTGGGATGCTGTTTTAGCTGGAATGCCAAATACTTTTCTACCAGATCTATGGATGGTGGAAATTATGTAGTGATTGATTCCAAGGATTGCCTTAAGTGATGTTTGGCCTACTTGTGAAATGCTGCCAGTTTATGACAACCTTTATATCTCTTGACTTTTGGGAAACTGGCTATAGAAGAAGAGTAAACTACATTTGATGATTTGACTTTTCGGAATTGTTAGTCAATATCAAAATTACTTTTGATTCTGACTGGTACGACTGCACATGGTTTTCATATTAACGTAATATTGAGTGCCTTTTTTAATTAATCTCTGTAGTCTCAGATTTGATTGGGTTTGATTAAAGCAGCTGCTCAAACGTAATTTAGAAAAGCTATTGTAAAACAGTATTTGTTTTAAGAACTTTATCTCTGACGTTTCTAATGGGTGTATCTACTTACGGAATTTGACCCCTTCAAAACTAAATTGTATTTAAAACTTTACTAGGCTACACTCTAAAAATATTAATTTCTGTAATAGCCTGTCTACATTGAAATTTTAAACATCTTTTCTCATCTACTTTTTTGGTAGCTTGCAGATTCTTGCCATTTTCTTCCCTTTAAATCAGAATATTCTCAACAGGGAAGTTGTCCTGGGTTTTAATTTCAGTAGCACTGGTTCTTCCTCTCAGTGCATTGAAAGCTGTGTTAGAAGAAAGGTATGGGCATTTATTAGTTTAAAGATAAGGTTATTTATTATTTGTAATTTAAAAAGGTTATGTGAAGATGGTTGTGAACTAAATTCATGTTAACCCTTCTGGCACTCCCACTTATCCAGGCATCTCTTATTAGGACTAGGACCTCATGAGGCCTTATGGTGACTGATAACGTGAAAAAGGGAGGGAAGGCTAGGTGCAGCTCTTTGCTTGTAGCTGACAGTAGTGGTATCTGTGCAGCTTTACCTGGCGCTTCGGTGTTAAAGTAAATCATAGCTTGAACTAGTAACAATTTTAAAGTACCTGTTTGCTTGACTGGAAGGAGATGTAAAATGAAATTTTGCTTTTGTGGTGATGCTCAAAGGTTAGTGCATTATCCAGAACACTCTTATGTACATTTAGATATACTGAAATTTTAATAGGCTGAGTGGAATAATGGTTTCCTGTCTCTTAAATACAACACTCCTGTTGATACATGACATGCAAAATTACATGTCTTATTTTGTAGTAGTGTTCCATTACTGTTACTGGAGAACTATATTAATGTTATTACTCTTACTATTCTTGGCCTACTTGGAACTTTTTTTATAATCCTATAGCATAATCACTAATCAGGTATTTTGTTGGAGCATTTGGTCATAACAATAGTGAAGTTTAAAATATCTTTTTGATGTTTCAGAGTAGATACTGCAGGAGCTTGAATAGGCAGTTTACTGCTCTTGAAAATAAATTTTCCTAACTGTATTTTTTTGCATATGTTAGGACTTTGGAAGTGTTACTGTGCAACAAAAAGAAAACTATTTTAAATGCTAAAATTGGTGCTCAATGTCTACCAAAATATTAGCAAACGTTGTTATAGTGTTCTACCTGTCTAGTCTTTTTAACTGATACTCATATCTCATGATACAGCTCTTGAAGCACAGTGATTAATTAAGAAGAAAAACCCCCCAAACTAGGCAAAAATCACTTATGTGTCTCAAGACCTTCTACCTTTCCTAGTGTGGCTGACCTGGAAGGTGATGCTCGGAGATAAAATTTGTAGGTAGTATCTTGAGCTTCTTCATATGAGACTCCTGGCTACTTTCTTTACCTTCCAGTTTAGGTTAGAGATGTTCATCAGGTTTTTGACAGGTTTGGGTTTTTTGTAATAGGAATGATGACAGTATTAAAGATAAAACTTTCTAAGATGTGAATGTCTGTTCTTCTGCCTAGATATTAATGGATCATCAGAATTTATCAGAACATGTGCTTTGCATGGTTTTGTATTTGATTGAGCTGGGGTTGGAAAATTCTCCAGAACAAGAGTCAGATGAAGAGGTAAGAATAAATACCATAAAATGTAAAAGTATTGTATAATGATTCAGTATTCTTTAAAAATAGATGTTTATTAAAATTATAATTTTACCATAAGAATTAGAATAAAACATCTTTATTTACATAAGCAGGGATCAACTGAGCAAACAAAAACAGGAAAATTGCATGGTGTTGTGAAAAGGAGTATGGTATCTTGTTATGTTTTTCAACAGTTTCTGTATATATAACCTGACAACACAGATTGGTTAGATCTTTACTACTGTGTAAATTAATACTTGAAATTGGGTGCAAAAAAAATTAAAATTATTGAATCTAAAACTCACTTAAATTTCTAGATTTTCAACTGAAACCTTTATCACTGAACACTTTATTGCTAAAGCTCTGTATCTTCTAAAATATGTGGATTAGCCAAAATTTTAACTGTGCTTTTGATGAGAATTTGATTATAAAGGGCCACTATTTTTGTGATTCCAGATTCCCTTGTGGTATATAACATTCATAACATTGCTTATATGATTAACGATCTGCTACTTTTTTTTTTTTCCCCCAGAGATTGACTTCTGTGTAGTTCAGATTTTTTGTATAAATCTAAGATTGTACAGCTTTGGATTACTCTGAGTGGTTCCTTTTACTTCTGCTAGATAGCACTGATGGCACATATTTGATTATATTCAAATCAAATGTGTAGATTTATGTATTTATCAGACCTGTAGTCCTCATGGTAGGCATCAGTCATACCATAATTTTTAAGAGGTATATCAGCTTTACTGAGGTATATACTGTTCAACATATTGTTCCTGTCTCAAGGAGAGATGATGGCCTCCGTAATACAGTTATAAAAGCAACATGAATTACTGTAACACATAAGAGAAAGTATAATTTTTTTTATTATTTTAGGAATCTGCAGGTGGGCAAGAGCGTTGCCATGATAGTTGGTTTCCAGGTAGTAACTTGGTTTCTAACATGCGTCACTTCATTAACTATGTGCGAGTAAGAGTACCAGAAACTGCTCCAGAGGTGAAGAGGGAACCACCTGCAAGTACGAGTTCTGACGGTTTAGCTTCATCACAAGTAAGCATATACCAATACCGGTCCTTTTCCTAGATTAATTTAAGTTATTGCCTATTTTGACTTTTTTTGTTAGGATTTTTTTTTTACTGTGTTTATTAATTTCTTAGGATTTTTTTGTCGTCCGATAATCTTTCCTAAGTGTACTGATAACAGAAATAGAATTTATTTCAACTGATACCTCCTTCCAAATGATGTATTTAATGACTTTTTTTTGTCCTCAATCTACCAGAGTTCAAGGCGGAAGAGCCTCCAGAGAGAGGTAGATCTGTGTGCAGTTTGTTCTCCTAAGCAATTAACTAGCAACATGGCTTTAATTGTGCTCACCTTAACATTCAGTGAAATCTTCTAATTTTCCTGAGTTTCCTTTGAATTCATATTGCAAGGACTCATGCTTTTTTATATTCTTGATTGTAATCTTAGGTAGTAGACTTTTAAGCAAAGAAACGCCCTTACATTTTTAATACATATTTTGAAATAAAAGCTTTCTATTGAACATAAAATGTCATTGATACCTTACTGCTTGAGCTTTGTGTTTAGGCCTGTTTTGTCTTGCCAAGGTATTACTAACATTTAATAATGTAGAGTAGTCTTAGCTTTCCTGAATCTAGGTAACTTTAACCTCACATTGAAAGTGTATTTGAAATGATTAATGGCAAGTTTATTTGGGGTTTTTTTGTGAAAACAAAACGAATATGTAAATGGTGGGATCCTGAAAGATTTATAGCCAGTAGATAATATAATCTCTATGTCAGGATTGCTTTTGTATCTTTTGTATATAGCACTTCAGATTACTGTATGCCAGATATAGTGAAATACAATGGATATTTCTTTTGCATGTTAATGTTAGGAAAAATAGATCAAAATTTAAAGTAGGTAGGTGAGATGAAATAGATTAAAACATAAAGAAGGTAGGTGAGATGAGTGTCAGAATCCCATTTTTATATTGTATTTCTGAAGCATTTGGTATCTCTTGGTTGCCCGGCCTCCTGAGAAGGAGAGGGTGAGATGTTAAAGCATTCTGAATTTCATGTTCAAAATGTTCAGGAAATGTCCCTGAGCTGTGGATTCAATATATGCAAGTTGCTTCCATGTATCCTTAATTTGGGACTGAAAGCAAGGGTAGCAGAGAATAGAAACATCTCAATGGACTCTGTCATTAATGTAACTGCACTCATACGCTCATGTGCCCTGAGTAGCAAGCTCTGCTTGCAAATATGGGTATGTGGCTTCTGGATCTCGGCTAATAAATCCACACAAAATGGACAACGCCCATGGGGATGTGTGGGCTCACCTGTGTTCACCTGTGTGGGATTATGAGTTACATCGTGCAGCAGTGCTCAGTAGACTTTTAACAAAGACATTTAAATGACATAAAGATACTGAAATTATGCATATTCCAGAAACAGTAAGGAAATACTACTTGGAGAGCAGAATTCTAAGTTTGACTAGAGGAAAGCCAGTTGTTAGTTGTTTTGGTATGGATGATATTTTCATTTTTTACTTGGCTTTCTATGCAGCTGTGTATAACAGATTTGTTTAAAAATATGACATGCAGGGTTAGTATTTTGCTATACCAAATTTCAATACATTTTGGAAGGGGGGAGGAAACTTAAAATGTTTTGTGCTTTTCCTCCTACTTTAAAATATTTTCTATAGTTTTATAAATGTATGTTGTTTATACTTGTATTTTTGAAAATTAAATGTTGTATTTTTTTCCCAAGAACTCGGGGACAGCTCAAGTGTTCAGTTTGGTCGCAGAACGTAGAAAGAAATTTCAGGAGATCATCAATCGGAATACCAGTGAGGCAAATCAGGTCGTTCGGCCCAAAACATCAATGAAATGGTCAGCACCTGGTGCAACTCCACAGCTAACCACAGCCATTCTAGAAGTCAAGGAAAGCATACTGTCCTTGCTGATTAAATTGCATCACAAACTCTCAGGAAAACAAAACTCTTACTATCCTCCGTGGTTGGATGATGTGGATGTTTTAATCCACCCAGAAATTCCGAGATACTCTCACGGTGATGGAATGACAGCAGTAGAAAGAATTTTATTGAAAGCTGCTGTACAGAGCAGATTGAATAAACGCATAATTGAAGAGATATGCCGAAAGGTGACACCTCCTGTACCACCAAAAAAGATTAGTTCTGCAGAGAAGAAAACTTTGGATAAAGAAGAAAGGTAACATTAAGAACAAAGTAAAGGGGCGGTAGAAGGGCAGCATGTGTTGTGCATCTATTGATTGATCTGTCTCTAGGACTTTGCATGAATTAGTTACTAAAAGAATGTCTTAATTCTACAGTTCTCCTCTTTTATCTATTTTGTATATACATGATTTACTTGCATACTGAGGAAGAACCTGCACCTTGCTGATTTAGATGTTTAAGTTAGAAAACTTTCATAATGATTTTGTGTGATATACGCGCTCACCCTTCATGTTGCCATGTATGCCACTCATATATACAAAGGTGCAGAGTCAAGATTGTGTTAACTTTTGAGGCTTAACTGTGCAACCTCAAGATGAGGTAGAAATTTTTTTTATTTGTATTGTCTGTTCATTAACTTGAACACATCACACCATGATTATTTTTGTTTGTTTGTTTACTATATGTGGGTCTGGTAATGCTGCCTTTTTTGCTTGTTCAACACATTCAATTTTAAAATTCTGTTTTTAACTTTTCTTATAGTTTCTAATTTTTTAAAAAATCTTATTCAGATTTTCTTATAATGTGGCCTGAAAACCTGCATGCCAGATATCTGTCTTGGGCTGAATTTTTTGGGGGAAAAAGCTCAGACAGTTTTGAGATTGAGGTTGGGGCATAATGACTCCTGAGAGCACCCAGAACACCAGCACTAGTGAAACTGAATGCGGAGAGCCTGCTTCTCTTCTGCTTTCAGCAGCTGCTGTGCTGGCATGTGAGTCGTATGGAAAAGGAATCATCCAGTTAAAATGCCTAGAGGACAGCAACTAGAGCTGAGAAGTAGAGGTGAAAACTAGGATTGGCAGAGGCAAAGAGTTGAAGACTGGGACTGGAAGGAGAAACCTCTCTGGTCAATTTAATAGTGAGCAAAGGGAAGATGCCAGGCCAAGTGAATAGTTGATGTGGGAAGACTCAAGCTGGCAAGTTGGGGATGTTAGGGAAGAGCTGGGCTGTCAGGACAGAAATGCTCAGAGAAGAGGAGCAAATGAAAGAACCAATTTTTAGTGAAAATCTCAGTGTGGGAGAATGGGGTCTTGAGAGCTGGTAGGAGAAGGAGAATGTGGAATAGGAATGCAAATGCCTGGAGGGCATGAGTAAGACAGAGATTGGCATTTGGGGGATGTAATAGAGCCAGCTAGAAAGACGAATTGGCTCGAGTGGGGCAGTGGGATGAGATTGGTAACTGGTTAGTGCAAAAGACTGAGACATGGCATTTGAGGTGAGGGGATGGTGGATAGGGTTAGAAGGTTGGGGCGTAGAGAGTGGGGTGGTCAGGTCAGAGAACTTACCACATTCACTGAAGGAGAGACAGGGCACGGGCTGGAATGGACAAGAATAGTCTTGAGTGCTTGTCTGTGCAGTACTTTGCTGTATTAATGGTTTATGTAACCAGACTATATGATTATGGTTCTAGAAATCTGGGTAGAGACGTGCAGCTGACTAAATTGGTTTCTGGATTACCTTTATTTATCCTGCTATTTTTATTTGTTTGAAAATAAATTTTTCGCTAAATTCTCTCTGATATGTCCAAGACCTATACTTGAAAATTAAGCATAAAAAATTAAAAATATATTTAATATTTCTTTATAAGTTACATACTTTACAAAGTAAAATTATTTTTTTCTTATAAGTGGTCAGTTAATGGTTTAATTTTCAACATCCATTCTAATAGTTCAGCAAATGAGAGAAACAGTCAAGGGTTAGCATGTAAAATTGTCTTTCAGAAAATGCCAGACTGAATGGCTGCTTTAGGTAAGACACAGCTACATCTTGGACGCCTACTTGTTATTGTGGTACTCAGTAGTGTTAGATTTATGTACAGGAGAAGCATGGGAATCAGTAAATCAAGTAACTTTTCATATAGGAAAGGTTGAGGTCATTCCTTTCCCCCTGTAAAGGATGTGATAGTTTCAGGGATCTGTTTTGGGCACTTTACATTTTCAGTTAAGTTCTGGGGCTAACATAGTGATGAAGAGAAATGTTTCTAGTTCGTTGTTGTTCTGGGTGACTGTTTTCTTCTCCTCAAATCCATAATGGCATTGGGGACCCATGAAGTTTATTAATGGACAGTGTGATAACTGAAATGACTAATCTCATAGAGTGACAGGGCTCATATAGTCAGGCTGCAGTTTACTTTCTTTTTTGATTTTGTTTTGTTTTTCTTTTTCCCCCGACTCCAGTTTTATATTAGTGAAGATCAAGCAGCCTGTGAGTGTTCAGTGATCACCCTTTTTGGTTACTTCAACATATAACAACAAACTTGGCACCACTCAGGCAATGGGTTGTTGCCATAGAAACTAAAATACAGAGCTAGAAGAGAGCTTGAGCTGCTTGCAGTATTTTTTCAATTGCAGTGTCATACTCCCATGGGCCATCATGGAAAATTACTGAGCTGTACTGAATCTGTCAGAGTTTGTTTATGTCATCTTATTAAAGACCTCTATTTACAGTCCCCCTGCTTTTAGTCAAGGCGTATATTGAGAAATTCCCAGGGAGAAATAAATAAAAACAGGTTTAATGAATGCCCTGGTATGATCCTCATAATAATGAATCTTAGGATTGTTGTAAATAGAAGCTATTTTGGGAAATGGTCGCTGTACAGTGTGACAGATAAATGGGCAGAGATATTTGGGTTTTTAAGGTGCCTTTAATAAAGCAAGTTAGAAGCTTTGACTTATAAACAGGCCACCTTGGGATAACAGGTTACAGTATATTAGCTGCTTTGGGCCTGTGCATGCCTGTTCCTGTGCCAGGACAGTGACAATCAGACAGTGCTGGAGACGAAAGAGCAACCCATCAGCATATCAGATGCCAAGTGATGTTTTTAAATCCCTTGTTAGTTATCTGAGTCATCTCTGAGCAGGGGAGAAAAATTCATTGTCAATGCTGATGCACGGAGTTTGTAGCTCTAATAGCGCTTCCCTAGCTGCACTGAGGGGGTGCTGCGTATGGCCCTTGTGCATGGGGCACGTAGGTCTTTGCATGTGTCATGGGATGGGCAGCTGTGGTGTGAGTTTAGTTTGGTTTTCCCACTTGAACTCTCCCATTTCCTCTATTTGTAAACTCTTGTCAAAGTCAAGATCCTTTCTTGGTATGTCAGGAAGAAGCAAATCAATGTCTATTTTCTTTCTCTTTTTACATCCGTCAATATTCCTCTACCGGCTGTGCTATGTATATATAGGGAGTTGTAGAATAGCTGGTCATATAGCCTTTTACAGATCACTAATACAGTTTAAGTGGAACGATAGACAAGAATGAGTCGCTAGTGTCTTCCATTTGTACATCCAGAGCTGTGTTAAACAATGAGGAAAAAGTTAGTGAAGTCAGCCTGGTTCCAGGGAAATCAGGGCCTTCAGTCTGGAAGCAATCTCAAATTTCTTTAAGTCCAGGTATAAAAGCTGTTGGTGACCATTATCTAGGGAGGAGGTGGGGGAGAACGAACCCGTATGAGGAGCCTTAGCTGGGAAAGAAATTGTTAATAATTGTTTCCCTTGGCATCAAGCTTGATGTCAAAAGTGAGGTATGCTTTTTAATATTATTATTATTAACAACTTGTAAACATTGGTTTCTCACAAGAGTACTTGTTTTTGTACCACAGTTGACATTTCATTCTGTTATTCTTCCCTTATGTAACAGAAAAATAACTTTGAAGGATAAAGTCTTGGGTTCTTTTTCTTATGATGCCATGTCCTAATCTGCTAAGGGATCCTTTGGTTTTCTGAAGGGTTTTTTAGGACATGATTTTATTCCTTTCTTTCAGACTCAAAAGAAAATAACTCTTATTTTGTAAAAAACCCTCTACTTTTAAAGCAAGAGATTCCTTTTTTAGGCTTGAAAATTAATCCTTTATTTAGAGAAAACTTGAATTTGGAATTATATTGTTGAAGGTGGTGACTGTAATCAGCCTGACACTATAAACTAATTTTTTTCCTCCATTATATGTTTGGGTTTTTTTCCTCTTCCCCCCCTCTTTCACTCAGACGACAGAAGGCTAGAGAAAGGCAACAGAAATTGTTGGCTGAATTTGCCTCAAGGCAGAAAAGCTTCATGGAAACTGCCATGGATGTTGGTAAGTTTTTTGTGTGGTTGATGGCTTGCTTTGCTTTTTTTTTTTACAAATTTTTTTTAAAATTTATTTCCATGTTAGTATTCAGGGTTTTACTCAAACAGTTTAAAAAAAAAAACCAAAACAAACCCCAAACAAAAACCCTTCCCCTTAGATTCCACTACTGTATCCACTTGTTCACTAAATACTTAAGAGGCTTAAAGTTTTCTAGGACAGATAATACCAAATACATAATTGCTAAAGAACAGATTAAGTGTTGTTGAAAATATTTAAAGGAGAACACATTATCTGTAGGACGTAATTTTATTCCTGTTTTTTCTTAACATACAATGGATTAAATGATTAAAAGTGTGTGATGTGTTTTAAAATATTTACCCTTTAATATAAAACATCCCAAAGTTAGTTCGTCTTTTAAAGATTGCATTTTCTTTAATCTGTAATAATAAAATTTAAGATTATTTCCTCACAGAGCCTCAAATTTTGATAAGGTAAAAGTTTTGCTTTTTAAGTTTATGTATAGAATTAAGGACAGCATAATTTTTAGATCATTGCAGTTGCTTTAAGTGATAACATTGTATTCTATTTCAAGTACAGCAGAATCAGCTCTTGTTTTTCTTGAGGATAAGTTCTTTCAGGTTCTGTGTAGAAGCGCATAATCTTGATTAGTTTGCTTGTGTTTAACTGAGGAATGGAAAATATTTTTATCATCTGGATTACTTCACTGAAAATTAGCACTTTTGAAAGATAAGAAAAAGCAGGAATCTTTTTTCTTTTTTTCCCCTCTTTCAATCAAATATCATCTGCTCTGTAGTTTTGATTTGAGTTTAAGCACTGGTTAGAAATATTTTGACAACTGTTTTTGCTGAAAAAGTCTGTTTTTTGAAATTGTTAAATTCACTTCAGTTCATAGGTTGCTAAGGTTCCTGCATACTTATGAAGGTCTTGGATACAGCAATCACTGAAATTTCTTTAGCAAATTAATGACTATATATATGGAGTTATGTTTTGAGACCGTGCGATACAACACAAAGTTCACAGATAAATACGAGTTTAAGTCATGCCTATTAAATGGGTAGCTATTTCTTTTTAATCTATTTGTTGAACTGAGGAAGAAGGGAAGAAGAAACATGCAGTTCTACTTATTAAAATTTAAGTCATCTTACAGTTGTGGCTAATTGAAAGCAGTCACCTATATTTGAATTCTTGATATTGCAACTTTAAAGTTGGTGGTTTTATATATGAAATCACATGTATCTGTATATATTTACCTGTCATAGCTATATTTGCATATATATATAAACCTGTATGCATAAATACTCCCATGCTTGAGTTTTATAAGCTATGTTTAGGTAACTTTTGAAAGCTTTGACTTGTGGATGAAGCATACTAGTTAAATCAATAAAATACACAGCATTTATTTGTGTGGAGGACTGGGAACACTTAGCCTACTTAACGACGTATGTCGAATATTAAAAAAAGAACCCTTAATTTCTGTAACAGGCAGACCTGGACCTTTGTGCATTAAAAAGTTCTTGCATGCAACACAAGTTATTTGTTTCTTAGTATTTAAACAATAAATAACTTCAGCTATCTCAACATAAAATACAGTGTTTGTTGTCAATTATGCCAGGTCATGCACAGCAGTAGATAGAATCAACTTAATGGACTGTCTTTTCATGAAGTTGTTTTGGATGAAGACATTTCTTGGAAAAAAAACAACAGAATTCCAGGCATGCTTTGTTTTTTTCACTAACTTTTTTCAGTGTCTTCTAGGTTGCCATACTGTTGCATGAGTTTGTGATGAAAATTCACTGAATTTGTACTATAGTCTAGTATTAACTAGCTTTTATGTTTTGACTGGCATTAAAATAGCTCACAGAAAGGAAGTACATATTCCATTATAATGTGTAGGATTTATTGTGAAACCTAGATTAATTGTCTGCCAGGAATATTTTCTTCAGTTTGCTCTAATTTTTTTTTAACTGATGTAATTTGTTTAGCTATGAATGCAGTCTCTATATGTTACAGCAAATTACTGAAAAAGTTGCAGAAACTATTGTTACTCTAATTTTAAAACACAAGTGGTGGTAAGAATTCTGAAACTAGGCTTTCTGGAGTGATTTCAGTTTAAAACTAATATAAGTATTTAATAGTCTTACCCTGAATTGTATCATAGCTGTGCTGAAGTAGTATGTTTGAAAACAAAAAAATCCTTTCATACTAAAATCAGTCAGTTACAATGTGTTCCCTTCTCACACATTCAAATTCTGTTACCTGTTACTTTTATTATAGGTTGAAATTCAGCAGTAGGTTTATTTCTGATTTTGGTTGTTACTGTAACAGTAATAACATTGTCAGAATGCAGGGATGGTGAGGCCTCTGCTCCCTGGCTTTGTCACTGATTCAGTTGGTGTCATTTGAGCAAATTATTATCATCATCATCAACTTTTAAAATTCTTCTATCTATGAAATGTGGATGTGATTCAGTGGTAAAATGTGAGAACTGGTGTAATTGGTTTTGGGTATAGCACTTCAAAAGTTTCATAATAGCTCTCTCTTGACAGTGTAAAGACTGAAAATAAATGTGTCTAGAATACAATAGGAATAATGGAGAATAGCCAAAGTTTCAAGATTATTTATTAAAACCCCATAAACTTAATAGTTTCCAAAGTGTTTATTAAAGTGCACAGAGTCACTGTCAGCCCCCTGAGGCATTCCACTTGTTTGATTGTTGGGATACTGCAACGAAACATGGCTTAAAAGGAGGTTACCCAATTACATGTTCATTTTTCGATATGAAATGTGTCTCATTTTACCAGCAAAAATTCTTTATTTGAACTAGAATTCACAAATTCATCTGAGATTCTGAAAGTAAAGGTTGGCATTTTCTTGCATAGAATCACCATAGAAAAAATTCTGATTATTTAGCTCTTTCCATTTGTGCTCCGTGTTACTTTCTATTTATATTCTGTGACATCTGCAGAACTGCATTGCATTCAAGCTTGCCTGGAAGTAATTAAGTGAAATTTAGAAACAGTTATGTTAATGAACTAGGATGGAACAGAATCGACTGTGCTGTCTTTAGCTGTTTGACTGCAGGACAAATGTAAAAAGCAGAAAAATAAACCCAGAAACATCATTCTAAGAGCGGTAAATAGAGCTCTTGAAATATCTGAGGAGAATGTCTAGTGAATCAAAAATGTGGTGTCATGTAGTCACACACAGTGTCAACTCCATAGGCCTTCTAGTCTCCTAGTAATGGCTACTTTTGCGTTTTTGTTTTGAGAGCACTTATCGCAGTGTGAAGCAATGGTTTATCTGCTGTGATGTGGAACTCCATGCAAGAGATATTTGAAACTTCACTGCCTTTCAGGCAGTACTTGATAAGAACAAAAATAAATCCCTCTGCTCCAGGTTAATAGTAGCCTTTAACAAATTACTGTGATATTTGTAATGATCTATCTGTCTGAGTTTTATAAACATGAAATATTATGATCCATTCCAGGCAGGCTGCTGAACTACTTAATCAAATGTATCTTAGTGAAAATTTGTAAATTGGTTCATTTGTGAATTACAAATACTAAGATATCTCACATTCATTTAATAGTTTTGCTGTCTCTGAAGTGCCCGATGTGATTTTTTTTTTTTTTATGTCTCGTGATAAGTATGCAGTATGATATTTGTGTTTCTGATGATGTGAGTCTTGACAGGACATCATTTTGTCCTTCAAGCCAATGTTCTTAGCTGGAGTTAAAAAGAAGCGCAGAGTTTTAACGCAAGGTGACATAGATTTCCTAACGCTCAATCTTCTGAACCCAGATAGAAAAATAAATTAGGTACTGATCTCTTGAGAATATATATGCTGGGTCAGGGCAAAGAATATTAGCATGATAATGGTTGCTTTGATGCCAGGGGGCCACTTTGACACACAGTGTATGCAGCAGTAAGATGTTGACTGCAGTCAACAGAGATCGTAAACTATTTACTGTGTTTACAGACCCCTTTCAGTTCTGGGGTTATGCTGGGTAGGGGAAAGAAGGGGAGTGAATCTTTAACTCTGGAGGGTACAAATGAAATAAAATTCGGGCAGCAATGCATTCTGCGATAAAACAGTGTGCTACATTTTAGCAGACTGATCAGTATTTGCTAGGAAGTAGGAAATACTAGGATTTTGTAACTTTGGGTCTCTTACTCCTATTGATACAAAACCAAACAAAGAGGTAAATAATTAACTTTTTTAAAAACCCATCGGAATGATAGTGTTTGGCACTACCCTAGATTTCTGTCACAGTTTAAATGTTTTCATCCTCCTTCAGTGTTTTTATCTTTGTTTTTAATGAGATTCATATTTATCCAGATTTCTGAAATAATTCACAAGGACAAAGAAAAGTCCCGGAACCCACTGTAAGGGCGTAGGGTGTGTTGCAACATTAGACAAACCGCATGAGAGAAACTTAGTGAATTGATACCAATACCATGTGTCTTATCTTGTATTTCTCATTTACGCCTCCTTCACACACATTGACATCATCAGGACAGGTCTCTGTGAAATCAATTAGATTAAATCTTTGGAGAGTCAGAGTTTAAAATTGTAAGCATCTTGGTTCTATTCCAAAGAAGGCTTGACACAAAATACACTTGCTGTCTCGTATGACCACTGCCTGGCTAGTAAAGCCATGCTTCAGCCTAGCAACTAAAGCCGCCTTGGTCTTCCTTGCTTTCCTGTTGCCACTACCTGCTTTCTGAATCTCCAGTAGAGTGATGAGGTGTCTTGTGTTGGGTGCCAGTGGTTTTCATGCAAAGCAAAACTGCAGGCTCCTACAAAACCTGTTTGAAAGGTAGAGGAGTAATATACCTCGAGATCAGTATCTTATCAAATGGCTGGCAAAGGATTCCTTTGGCACTCAATAAGGCAACATTGTTCTGGGACATAACACACAAGTGCTGTTTTCATGGAAATATCTTCCTAGTGTTGGCAAAAAATGTTGGGAGTTTGTGCACCACTGGAAGCAAAATAAGGAGATTTAGATTATTCTTCACCTTTTAGTTGCAACTGGTGTAGCTTTATTCACGTGACAGTTCTTGGTGGTGATTTGGGTGGGGGTTTTAGCCAGAATAGAAGAAATTTTGTGTTATATTACAATCGACATTTAACTATAAAGGCTTTTAATCAATATAAAAGGACATTTAATAAAATAATAATTTTTATTAGGCTGTCTTTTTATAATTGTATTCTGGCAGCTAGCAAATGTTAGCTCGTGCTTTAAAAATTGGTAAGAACCTATATTTTCTAAATCAAATGAACAAAACAGCATTACAACTCCAGTCATTTTAAATAAATACTTCACAAGTTGCCATGGAAAACACAAAGCAATTCTGTACTTTTGTTTATATGAAATGGTGGGAAAAAGGAAAAAAAAAAAGAAGGTGTGGAGCTACAACTTTCTGGGCATTTTAAGCTGCTACATAACCACTATTGCAGTAAAATGCAGTTTAGTTTTACTTTTCCCCATGTGGAATAGGAAATATATAACTGAAAGTGAAGTAGAATGGAGACATGCCAATTACTTTATATTCACAAGTATCAATGCATTAATTAAATATTTTAGAACAAGTTTTGCAGGAAAGAGTCTGTCTCATTTTTAACAGTATTTTGAGTTTGACAGGACATGTTTGTCCTGTTCCTTGACAGTGTAGATAGATCATATAGCTGGTGAGGCAGGGTCTGTGGCTTCCACAGGAACTCCACAGAGGCAAAACTCAGGAAGGCAAGAAAGAGAATATTGATATCATTGCTATATGTATAGCTTGCTTTCTTTTTTCCAGACTGCCACTGATACATTTTCACTCCAGGAACTTTGCTGCCAAAATGTATCCCCTCAAACAAACCATAGCCCAAGTCTTACCTACCAAAGCAGCTAACAACTAGTTTGAGCCAGTAATCAAGGTTTGTCTTAGTCCATTCAAAAAGAATTGGGAGGTTTTGTTCGGTTGGGATTTTTTTGGTCTGCTTAATTATTTGACATTATAAATTCTTGCCAGTTTTGCTTACCCATGGATTTTGTGTAAGTTGACTTTGTTTTCTTTCACTAGCTCTGGGGGAAATTATTTTATTAGGAAGTCTTCCTTGATGCTAGAAGTTTAGTTCCCTTGAAATTTTATTGTTTGCCAAAGTAGCCTAGCACTAGATCTAAGTAGTTGTGAAGGAAAACACGTATTTGATCATTGAGTTCTAACATTAAATTAGTCTGATTTTTATGTGCCTGTTGCACATAAGCAATAGAAGTATAGATTGCATATACTGAATTGGTTTGAAACACCTTTTCACTGCAAAGATATGTATTTTTTTCCTTAAGGTTTAAAATATGCAATTTATGGTGAATGAAGGGTATTTTGTAAATTAAATTACTGATTTTGAGGACTTCCATTGAGTTGTTCAAAATCTGATTGACACACTGTATTCCCTTACTAAACTTCTTAAAAATATTGAATGGATGCATATTTTATGTTGTATTGCTGGAACTCTAGTTGTCATGTTGTGCTTCTGATACACAGCTGTACATGAGTGTGCGTTACACAAATATGAGGTGATGTTAAATATAAAAACCAGCTTTAGTGTTTACTTCTCCCTTCTGTGCTGCAGTTGCTTCTAGGTTTTCTGGATGCTTGGACTTAAAAAACCTTTGCAGCTGATGCATTCTGCTTTTTCTTTCATTGTACATCTGACTGCCACTAGATGGTGATAGATGTGTGTACAATATTAACTGTATGTCAGTAAAGATCGGAGTTCATTTTCATATGACCCTCAATAACTGACTGGGAAATCGATAGTTACTAAAACAGTGTATTTTTGATTCTGCCCTGTGAGTGAGAGCGTTGCATGGAGCTTTACATAGCAAAGAAAGATGCTGCCTGGTATCCAACACACCTCTCCTTATAGCAGCAGACCCCCTGTGCTGAACTTGTAGTGGACTTTCAGAAGAGAGCAGCTGTCCTAAAATCAGTTCAGCTCTATCCAGCACCTTGGCCTACTTAATCAAGGAGATAAAAGGCATGGTTGAAGGTAGGGAGGAGGTGTTTTCCTTTGGAAAAATTGTCTTCTAGGAAAGAAACAAAGCGCCCTTATATTCTAGGTCAAGAGGCTCACTGTATGGGTTCCTGAGCAGTCAGGAGAGGATCATCTCCTCCTAAGGTGCTTTTCTTTCAAGCCAATAAAGAATTCTTACCTTGGATTGTAATATAACATAAAATTGCTTCTATTTTGGTTAGGCCCCTGCCCCGAAACCACCACCACCAAGTGTCATGTGAACAGAGCCACATCAAGTGCAATTGCTTCAATACTTTGAAGCTGGTCCTTGGCCGTGAACATTTCTGTCTCTGCACCTAGGAAATGATAATGTGGACCATTAGAAAACAAGATCTCTGATACGTCTTGTATACAGTAAATGTTAAACATCTTCTGCATAGCAGCGGATTACTGTCTTAATGCACCCCACATTTTTAAACATTGTCCCAAGTTTCATATTAAAAAAAAAGTTCTTTCATTTTTAGTTGCACGTTTCATTTGCGTTGTCTAAGCATCTTTTAAATTATTTCTAAGGTCTCCAGATTAACTTTTTCCTTTTAATTGTTGTTAGAGTCAGTTATGAGCACATCTGGTTTTAGTAGAGATTCATATTCATTGCCCTTCATATCTCTCTGCTTAGAGTTTTCAATATAGTATTTAATGAAATAGAAGTTAGATCTCTGTTTTATACAAGTTTTAAAGAGATCAAGTTTAATACAAAACTTGAACTAAACATTTAATTCCACTGGGAATAATTTTGAATATAGGAGAACTCGTACTTCATTGTGTAGGTGTCTGTTTTAAGCAGCAAGGTGAGTTTCAAGTAATGGTCAATGTTTTAGTTGTAGATAAACTAGAGAGATTATTCTGGAGTTTTTTTGTCACTACCTCAATGCAGATGCAATTGAATTTCTTTCCCTCTGTTTAATATCAATTTTCCTATCCTTTTTAGAATCGCCAGATGCTGATATTGCCATGGAGGTAGCTACATCAGAACAGCATGTTTCTGAGGCAATATATGATTGTGTTATTTGTGGACAAAGTGGTCCTTCTACTGAAGACAGACCTACAGGGCTAGTTGTACTATTACAAGCATCCTCAGGTATGAATGTGTGAGTTGTGGGACAAGCAGCGTTTCTGCAGCTTTTAGTATGTGTGCATAAATACTGTTGTGTCTCATGGAGCCTGGAAAGACAAGAGTCTTCCCCTTTTTTGTGGATGATCCTCCATGAGGCATATGTGTAGGTCAAAGGGTACTGAGAAAATTTCTAAATGTTTGGGAAAAGAGCAAACAGTTTCATTCCCTCTGAGTTCCTGTTAGCTTTTGCAAACCTAGCAGTATATAATAGACCTGCAGGAAAATAGATATTGAAAGAAAAAGAAAATAAAATAGCCATTGGTGTGTCTATAAGTATGTATGTGTGTTTGTGTATGTATATATAATTTATGTACAAGTGCAACAGCACAGCTGCTAGTATTTAGTTTCTTTAATAATTTGTTTACTGTTTAACATCAGCAGAGCACATTGTAATTACAGACCAGAATTACCTGGCTGTTTTCTTAATTGTTTAGCATATTGTTATCCATTGTATTCTTTATTGCTTCTTTTTTTTCATACAGTGTTGGGACAGTGTCGCAATAGCACTGAGCCAAAGAAACTGCCAACTACTGAAGAGGAGCAAATATACCCTTGGGATACTTGTGCGGCACTGCATGATGTGAGGCTTACAACTTTACAGCGATACTTTAAAGATGTAAGTATTTCATATGAACAATGCTACCACTTATGAAAAACTTGTGTAAAAAGATAAATGAAATAACAACTTAGAGTCCTCCTAGTTTCATTTCTACATATAGTGAACACTTCATCATGTTGCAGTAGTTATGAAGTGTTTACATTTGATAGGGTCCTTATTTTTAAATAGCATCTGGCTTTTCCCTAGTTATATTTTTCGCATAGGCATTCTAGTATATCTACAGGCTATATAGTCATTAAATATCCATGCAGATATTTGCTAGAAGAAGATACTTCACAATTCGGTGTGACCACACAATTGAGATGTGGTTTTGCTGTCTTAGTTATTACTTTCAAAACACCAGTTTTCTTGTGGCAGATGTAAGCAGGAAATTATTTCTGAACAGGTATTTTAGTTCAGAAAGAATCTGTGGACAAGCTTTTCTTCTTTTGACGTTGATGATGTTTGTTTATTGTTTCAAATAGTTAATGAATATTTTTTCTGTGCAGTAACACTACTAACAGATTAGTCTAAGATAGACTGTAATGCAACGAGCAAATGCATCCTGCTTTCAAAAATTCCACTCCCAATTCAAACATTAGTTGAATTAGCTATTTTTGCTTTCAAGTTTCCAGGTCACTACTGTGGTAAAAATGTCTCTGCATGAAAGAACTAATCCTTAAATTTCTTTTGGCATAAAAATGGAAACATCTGTTAGTGTCTTGAGTGTCTTGTTCAGCTGAGCTAAGCAATAAGAAGTCCTTTTGTTTATCAGCTGTGTCCTTCCCAGTAAGTGTCCTTCCTCTAACAACAGATTTCAGGAGGCAACAGAATAATTTCACTGAGATGTGAAAATTTTAAGTTGTGAAACATGATCTAGCTTATTCTACTTGAAGAAAAAAAAATATTCAAAAGCTACATGCTGTATACAGGTTGGGCAAAACAGGCCAATGCTCTCTATAGACATTCCTTTTGCACTTTCTTAGCTGAAATTTGATGCTTGCTGTCAGTCAAAGAGTAGAGTTCTTGCCCATTAAAGGAAAAATCACTGAAAGAGATTATTTTTAATATGGAGGGGTATGACTAAGGATTAGGAGATAAAACTTCATATACTAGATTGATAGGACTATTTTCAGAATGACATAGTACGCTGTAACCAGTAACTTGATACAGGTGTGCTCCATCCCAAGCCTATGGCTTGCTTTGGAATCTCCCTTTATTTCTGAACTCAAGAATCATAGAGTAAAGCCTTTCTGCAAAGACTTTGTGGTTGGTTTTTTTTCCTTACACAAATGCTACTAAGTACCCTCATTAAATATATGCAGTAAATAATGCTTTTCCTGAATGAAACATTGGCCCTGTGGGGCTTATCCAGTTATATCATACAACCTTACTAATAGTGTAGTCTACTAAATTATGCAGGAACCAGCAGGAGAAGAAGCTTTTCTTGTTCTGTGGCCTGAGAGGGTCATAGCATATTATGAATGTCAGGTTGAGGCAAGGTAAATCGGAGCATGTCTTGTAGCTAGAATATGTAATTTTGTTTTGATTTCCTGCTCAGATGCAGGAGAAAAGATGAGATGCTAGGACATCCTTAGAAAATGCAGCTATCAGAGTTGGTTATTCACATACCCTGATTTTTGTATTGTACATTAAGACCATTTTAGGGTGAGTCTACAGGAAAAATTATTTTCCAATTGTGATAGCCATAAATCTTTTTCTGTTCTTTAAATGTATAACCAGAATGTACATTTCAATCTGTGTATGAAATTATTTTTTGGAGAAATGGAGATTTAGTAATTAGACTGACTATAGCTAGGTATTCTGCAAGAGAATTTTCTAGAATTCCTTATCATAACTTTGGCAGTCGTGACTGTTTTTTTCAGTTCATTATTTTCTGAGAACTACTAGTGAGGTAACTTTATTTTTTACATGTGGGCTATAAGTGCAGTCTTTGAATAAGGCCAATGTTTTCAAAACAAGCTGGTATAAAACTAAATTCACTAAACAAGTTATTTGTTCTCTTTTCCCTTTATGATGTGTTATATACAATATTGTTCAATGACTCATTAAAAACCCTAAGTGTTTACACTGAATTTTAATAACAGATTGGACTTAATTATATAACTGTGATCTTATTATTTTGGTTACGTACAAAAGTGAATGAAATGTATTGGAGCAGTATATTGGCATTGGACATGGGATAACTTCTACTGTTGGAACAGACGGTAGAGTTAGAGCCGTCTTCATGCTGTAATACAAGAATTTCTTTAAAGACATCATTGTCTTAAGTGACAACTGCAGAAGTTTAACTTAAGTGTTTGGCTCTTTGTTGGATAGAATAGCACAATGGCAGCCACGTAAGTTAGCACAAGTAAATACTTTATAAAATAAAATTTTTCTTTATTTCCATAGCATGTCTTTTAACTAGATAGCATACAAATAAAAATCTGTATATTTTTTAAATCTTAAAATAAGTTGTGGGAAATACCTTTATAACTTCATATATATTGTTCTTTTTTCTTACTGGTTTTGCTTTGTTTAGAGTTCCTGCCTGCAAGCAGTGTCGATAGGCTGGGAAGGAGGTGTTTATGTACAAACTTGTGGTCATACTTTACACATAGACTGTCACAAATCTTACATGGAATCTTTACGGGTAAGTAAAGCTAAAGATCATCTTTTTTATTTGGATCTGAACTGTTCCTAGTGAAGTCAATTGGACTTACGCTGTTCGATTCAGAGAAAGAAAGATTAGGTTTAAATGAATGGACAAGATGTTTTTACTATGTTTCAAGAACTGTAGATACTAAATCTCTTATTACATCTTGACATTATTAACTGAAGTACTTAGTTTTCAGTTATTCTGATGTATCAGCAAGAATACTTGACTATATTAATCCTGTTCTTAAAAAATTAAATCACTGGGGTTTGGGTTTTTTATTTCTCATGTGCATATTCAGGTAAAGCATTTCTTACACTTTTCATTTCTGTTTCATAGATACCTATTGTGATGTTTAACATGTTAGAAATTACAGAGAAACTGAAGAAAAAATGAGAGGGGAATTTTATAAGTATCAGCTTGTGGTTTTGGTTAACTCCTAATACGAAAATACAGTTACAAAAAGTTAGATTTTTATCTCCAGTTATGCATGATATATGTTATGTATATACATGCGATTTAGAGAAATGAGTTAAAATAGCTTAACTCTTGTGAATTGTGCTCCCCCCCACCCCCGGCCTTGGAAAATACTGTTGGGAAATTACTGCTATGTTTGATTTTAAAATACAGTTTATCAGTCAAACCTCAGAAATTGTTGGCTAGAAAAGACATCCTTGTTTTCACATGGTCTGAGAAAACAAGGTAGTGTTCCATTGATGTTGCTGGCCTCCTTTGCCCCCCTCAACCTCTTGTAGCCCAATTGCAGATCTTCTGAATGACACTGTAGAATGTTATCACAAGCTCAGCAGTAAGTCATCAGATTTTAAGCAATCATTTCTTTCTGTATTATTTAGTGTAATGAAATAAAGACTCAATGATGACTTCTTGTATATGAAACTGCTTTTTTGTTCAAGATTACTTTGGTATTTCTTTAGTTTTATTTTTTCATAAGCTTTGTTGATCTGTTTCCATTTTGATAAAAATTATGAGCAATGCTTTGTATTCTTAGAATCAGCATTGGTCAAACTGTGAAATTTACCTCTAGAGAAATTGGAAGCTGTGCCACCTTTATTGGATCCCATGATGAATTGTTCTTTTCCGTATGACTGTAAAGATGCTTTCAGGGGTAATTGTGTCATCAAGATAATTAAGTAAAATCTGGGCTTTCATGGTAGAATCTAATTTTACAGAATTTTGGAAAAGTAACCTTTTGCATCATACAGACACTGAAGTCCTGTTTCTGGTGGATTCTCACTTAAACTTTAGATAAACTCTTAATTCCATCTCATTGTATTCCTGAATATTTCAAGATTATTTAAGTGAACTTTTGATCCTAGCACGTATTACTACTATGTAGATGAGTGCATAATAATTTTGACTGTTCCTAGCATTCTTAGTACTGAAATAATTTATATAGACTTGCATTCATCTGGACAAAACATGTATTTTTACATAATACAATCAGAGATCAACATCCAGAAACATATGTAAAAGTAGGCTCACCGGATTGCCTCAGCATTCTGGGCTCATTGCCTGAAGTTTCAGTTATAGTCACTATCAACTTAGCAGTTCTCTTCTCCCAGGAGTGGGAAACCATTGAGGCAATTCACTAAGTTGCTTGCTAGTAATGGGAATACAAAGAAGTAATCAGGGTTTTTGTCATGCTGCCCTCCAGTGGCTACTTGATTAGGTTTTTCAGCCTGTGCTACTACTGAGAAATATCTTCAAGTATTTCTCATGACTGAAAATAAAACTGCCTTTTGATAAATCAAAAGATGTTATCGGGGGAGTCTCAAACTTTATTCAGAATTGCTAGAAAGAGACAACACACGTGAAATGTTCAAAATACTGCATTGAAGTACTTCTAGTTTGTTATGGGGATATTGTTGACAATGAAGACTACTTAAAAACTGGGAAAATTAGTTGAGTTGGAGGATAGTAACATAGTCTCTAGCAGTTAAGACCTCTTTCACTAAAATGAGGAGCTCTTCCAACTATTATTCTTTCTTTACATTTTTTGGTTTTAGACTTAGTTCTTTAGCTATACACCTGAAATATCAAACTAAAAGTTACAATCTTTTGCAAATTTCAACTACATCTTCTTTATTTTCTTTTAGAATGACCAGGTCCTCCAGGGTTTTTCAGTGGACAAAGGAGAATTTACCTGTCCCCTCTGTAGGCAGTTTGCTAACAGTGTTCTTCCTTGTTATCCTGGAAACAACACGGAAAGAAGCCTTTGGCAAAGTCATAGTAACAAGTGTATGCAAGATCTTGTACAAGAGGTGGAAGATCTTCAAGAACAGCTGGGAACTTTCCCAGTAAGCATCAGTGTAAGGCAGAAAGATCCTTGTTAATTTGCCTCTACCTTTCAGTTTTTACATTCTGTTGCATTTGTGACCTCTTAGAAACTCGACAACCTGGGAAACTTCATTTTCCTTTGATATGGAAGATAGCATACTCTTTTTTTCAGATCAAGAAATTTAAAATATTTACAGCACTTATTGAATTACCTACTAAAAATAAACAATTAAAAAGCTATGACAAAATGTGATTAATGTAATTTTTATGGAGTACATTTTCAATTCTCTCCATGGTAATTTACATAGAATTGAGTCATGTAATATAAAATTAATTTATCATTTCTTTACAATGTAAAATCAGCAATATCCTTGTAACTGGAAGCTATTTAAAGAATGTCTATTAACATTTTAAGCTATGGATTATTTGTTTTACAGAAAGAGCAGTTTGCAGATGCTCATGTATTACAAAGCTTCGTGAGGTCTTTCTGAATGATATAATTAATTCTATTCAATTTTGCTAGCCTTCCCATCTTGATGTAGATATTTTATGTTATTTTCATGTACTTGTGCAATGCAAATATGCTTTAAAATAATGCAAGCAGTGAGATTCTTGAATTTGGGAGATGGACAAAACAGTGATGTTTTCATATTCAGAACAAATCAGAATAACTTTCAGAATATTATAACACTTCTGTGAGACAGAATATTGCTTTTAATGCATATTTTTTCATAACCTGCAAATGTGTTTTTATAAATATGAAAGTGCTACGCTGTGTGATCAGCTATTGCATTTCTTCAGGTAAAATTAACTAATCTTCTTTTGTGTCTTTGTTCATAGTCTGAAACCAATCTTAGTAAAGAAATGGAATCTGTAATGAAAGATATAAAAAGTACCACACAGAAGAAGTATACAGATTACAGTAAGAGTCCTGGATCACCTGACAATGATTTTTTGTTTATGTATTCAGTAGCCAGGTGGGTATATTTTTTCTTTTTATATTTTTTTTCTTTTGTCTTTCTCACTCATGGTATTATTCACCAGTTTTCTTCTTTAAAAAAAAAAAAATTTAAAAAATTATTCCATCCTCTCCAAAAAGTACTTTTTGAGTACTTTGAGTACATCAAGGTTACATATTCTGATATTTTTCATATTTGGGCATATGCAAGATGGAAAGGTGTGCCTTTCAGTTCATTTTTAGTATATGCAGCAGTGGCACAAACCTAGAGAACATTTTGCCTTCTGCTTATTTAGTTTTCTTCTTTATTCAAGGTTTTGCTTTCCATATACCAAAATTTTATGTTGAATTTCTTTTTCTAACTTCCTTTCCCAAACTGTCAAATCTCCTCCACTGTTATTTAGCAGAATGAGATTATTTCTATATCACTGCCATATTGCTGGTTTTTAAATCACAGGTGTTTTTAATCTCTCTGTCAGACATTAGTTTTATTTACTTAAATAGGGATCACAGGAGTGATTTCTACCCCAGCAACCAGGAATCTCTCTTCATGTGAATAAGACTCCTAAAAAAGTGTAAAAACCACCAGCATTTTCTCTGTGATGTTTGATTCCAGTTTTATAGCTGTCAGTGTCACAGACACCGTCTCCAAGAAATTCAAACAGTCCCTCCTTCTATCTATACCATTAACATTATGATGCTCTGAATGGTTAATCTGTTCAGATTTACTGTAATGCAGGGTTTTCCCATAAGAAGTTGAAATACTCACTAAGCAAATAATTTTCTAAACTCTGACTTATTGAGGCCTGCAGGGAAGCTGCTGACTGCAGAGAAAGTGCAAGCATACAAGTAATATCATCCAGTAGCATTTTTTTTACCGCGGTTTCGTAAACTCTGGTTGCTGAGTGTCTTTAGTATATAAGCAGTGGAAGTATTCAAGACTTGGCTCAGCAGGACTCTGGATAATCAAATCTAAGGCTCAGCTTTTGACAGAAGGTTGGACCATCTGATCTCCAGAATTCTCTTCCAACCTAGATTATTGTATAAATCTATTAAAAAAAAAAAAATTATCTGTATTCTTTAGAGTATCTTAATTGCTCTTCTTAATCAAGGCACAGTTAAATTTTATACATAGAAAGTTAAAAGATTATTCTGTATTACTTTAAGTGGTATATGCTGTACAAGGGTAAATAATGTTGACATTTTTAGCAATGATGTGTTTGGTCAATAGCGTTTAATATCCTTCCAAAAATACAAAGGACTCAAAATTAATGTTTCACATATAAAAGTATGATTACTTGTAACTTGACATGCCATTTAAGATACAAAAATGATGTTATAATATATTTCTGGGTGTAATGTTATATAATTTTAAAAAATGCTAGCATATTTTAAATATAGATATATTTTATGATTTTTATATTAACACCCTAAGCCCAAGATTTTTGTTTTAATGCCAAGAGTTAAAAATACCTCAAACCAGAACCGCATTCCGTTGCTGCTTGCACTGCTGGAGGGAAATCATCGTTGACCACTATGATTAGGATATGCAACCTGTACTCATTGTGACCTCTTCTTGTTAGGTTAGACTGCTGTCAGCAATTTTCCATTCATCCATGGCTGAGGGATTTCAGGTGGTGGATCCAGCCTTCCATATTGTTACCATAAGTCATAAGATCACTTAAGAGGGTGCCTGGCAGATCAGCTACAAAATGGTTAATTTCTCTTGCCTTTCAATTTGGCAATCCAGATTACAGGCTTCTACTACTTGATAATTGCATAAGAACTACAGGTTAAAAAACCCTAAACTTTTAATAAGACATTTTAATATAACCTTACAGTTTGTACTTAGGGAAATAAATCTGTGAGTGAGCTGGTCATCTCCCAGACTGAAAGTTTTCTTTCTATGGTTTTAGTATGTTTTGTTTAAGTATCCAAACAATGGACTATCCACAAGTTAAATTACAGACTGAAGTAACTTGCTTTCTGCAAGTTATTCCTGTCACTGAGCCTGTTTCTTCCTTATCTCCATCCAGTTTTTTTAAGGTAGTGATATCCTTGTGTTCCTTACCAACCAGTTACCTTTGAGCATTTCTAGTTTATGTATTCTGAAACAATTCATTGGTTTTGGTCAGACCATCTACAGCTGTTATTTATTTCCCTGGTATTTAATCTAACATACAGATAAAGTGGTCAAGATGATAAGTAGCCCCTGTTTAAATAAGCATTTGAATGCAATGATATTTTTATTGACTCCATATATTTGCAAGTGAATTAAACACTCATTAATCTTCTTCAGTCACGTTCCATTTTCAATCAGAAAATGGCATCATCTGCAGTCTTCTTCAGAGATGCTAGTTTACAGCTGGAGGCCAGCTTTGAAGTGGATTTCTGCATGCTGGAATGGGAATAATTCTGGTTAAACAACATGTAGCCACTTGCTCCAGCTTATCCTTTCTGCTTCAGGAAAACGGAAACTTACTTTTCTTACTTCACTTCTGCTTACCCAGACAGATGTCACTGGTAGCAGAGAAAAGAAATTACAAGCAAATTCTCTACCACCTAGTGGGAGAGCTAGCTCCTGTGTGTTTTCCTAGCAAAAGAGGCGCTCGGGGTCTCAGCATCCTGATTTGCACGCACAGCTGGAAGAGCAGCTCCTTAGCTACCTTCCCCTTTCCCTCAAGTCTTACCTTGTTTAATTTCTTCCCTTGTTAAATTTATGCCCTTTTCATATACATCCCTCCTTGTCTTTGCTGACATTTATGAAATTAGTATAGTGTGTCATTCGCAAATCATGTGTGAATGCTCCACATTCATAGCATTGATGACTGTCATTTGAGGCAGTACCTTGGAAGACTGTTTCTGTATTGCATAGCAATAGGTCTTGTGCTTTTGTTAGCTGTGTAATCGAAGCTTTTGGTTTTGCTGTCAGCTATGTATAGACTAATTTAAGAACCTTGTGTTCTTTCCTTCCAGTCTGTGTCTCAGTATCTGGGTTTTTTCATACATACGTTGTTTTTGTAAAGTGAAGTGGAAAAAATGGTAGTGCTTAACTTGATTCTTCTGTCCCAATAGAAAGAGGAGGTCCATCCAAATATGTTCTCTTTCTGGAAGGGGCATTGCATTTTTACTTCCCCCTGCTCTGTCCTGATACGAATTCTGAGAAATATGCAGTTACCCTCCCCACCCCCCAATCTGTTCCGTTAATGAAAGCCCACAAGAAGGGATGAAGTAGAACTGTTTTTTAATTGGGAGTCTGTACAGCTGAGCTAAATCCATCTTCCTGGGTTTTTTTCTGTGAGTGAGGAAGATAAAGCCAGTGTTATACAAAATTTGTTGTTCCAATGAATGACGCAAAGATTTCTAGATAGAGAAAACAGTCACTTATATAGATTTTCTTTCTCCTTCTCTTTCCTTCATGTTGAGGGGGCTGAGATAGCAAAGGATGCTTTCAGAGACCACTCTGTGTTCCACTCCTATCGGATGCCCCAAGTTTTGCTTTGTTGATGAGAGAATAGGCACCGAGAGCTCTGCTTTTCTTCAGTACAGGGCAGATAGTACTCAGATCCTCAAGGTAGAAGGGAGGTTGACTTAGGGAGGAGGTACACTAGTCTCTTCCAAAAATGATTTAGGGCTGTAGCTGATGTAGAACATTTTATAAAGGAGAAGTGTTCAGTTTCACACAAGATGCTTTCTCTACTGTGCACTTTCATGCCAAAGTTTAGGGATCTTTTGAAAGAGATGTCTTAGAGGAAGAGGCTCATGTTTACGTTTCCAAGAAAGCTGGACTATAAGCTGCTGTCTTTGAGGAGCTGGAGGCAATGAATAAGTGTGGGAGGTGAGAGTTGGTATGATATGTGTGATGGAGTATGTTTCCAGAAATCTCTCCCTTTACATTCCTTATGGCAAAAAGTACTATATAACACCTCATACATATCAAGAAGAGTTTTTTCAGAATTGTCCCCGAGGTTTGTTTTGTAAAACTGTACTTATTTCTTGGTGAAAGGGAAATTTAAAATTCTAGATCTAGAAAGTTGTTCTTAGACACTCAGGTAGTGTTTTTTATTTAAATCTTGATTATCTTGGTTTTAATAGAAGGCTGCCATTAATTTTGTCCTACAAATTAGTTATCAGAAGCTTTGTAGAAATAAAACATACTGGTTTCCTTTATGTTCCCATGAGGAACTAGCACATGCTGACCTACAGTTGCTATTTTGTCCACTAATATGAAATCCCTGTCCCTGCTTCCTTGCTGGTAGATTTTTAGAAGTTCAGTGAGCACTGCAAATCGCCTGAAGAGTGGAAAATTCCCCTGTCACACAGATGCCCTTATCAGCAGCAACCAGATGGAGCTCTGAGCAGGCACATTATCAATGTTAAATTGCCTTTTCTGAGTAGAGAGGATTAAAGCATTCCTTCAGAAACGGGTGGCATAAGCTGCAAACTTAGGGAAAGTAATATTCTGAAATGTTACTATTTTAAAAATGTATGAAAGTATCTTAACAAACACTGCATATCAAAAATGTATTATTCTTTCAAGCTGATGGAGCTGAAATCCTTAAAAAATAATTTGTTTTTAATAAAAGTCATCCTATAGTTTCTTCTTAAATATATGTGTGTGTGTTCTTAGCTTAGATATATTATGTGCCTAAAATTCTAGAATAGATTTTAATATGTATTCAGTTCATTATATTGAACCTAAAATTGTTTGATTTTTAGTTAAAGGACAAAATATGTTTAGACTGAGCTTTGCAGTTTGGATTAAATTAGAAAAATACCATTTCTGAATAATAGAATTATATTGCTTTATTTGAATTAAAAGAATGTATGTTGACTTATTAAAACAAACTCGCAGAGAACATAACATAAATTGTTTGCTCCAAGTCTTGGGGGTAAAAGATAATGCAGTACTGAAACATCCAGTCCCAAAATTAAACACAGCTATTGAATTTGGCCTAAACAATTGGTGCCTAAGTATCAGATTACAATAATAGTAAGAAAGAAAGCATCAATGTGACATGCAGAGATTTAGTGACACAACTCCTGTTTCATACTAATGAGCTGCAGTGAATACCAGTGTTTCATTCAGAATTAGCCTCCGAGGCTTTTATTAACTAACTTATCTATAAAGGTCAGTGCTTCCATTATAATTTAGACTGTTTTCATACTTAGTTATTTGATGGCCTATCCACTGTACTGTTTAAAGCAAAACAAAAGCCCTGCCAGTAAAGAGAACACTGCTTAGACATATCTGATTGATTGAAATTTAGCCAATCTGTATATTGTCTTTTCAGATTTGCACATAAATTCCCTTATTATCAAGGAGTCGTGTGTGCATACAGGAAAAAGCCTCAGAATCGACTTTTTTTTTTTATTCTTCAGTCACAGCTGTAGCAGCTCTTTTAATACAGTACTTGCTAATCAAAGCACTTAAAATCACATATGGCAATATCTTGATAAAGTTTGTTTTATTCTGAGTCATATTTTGGCAGTATCTCACACTAAAGATTAGTTCACAGCATTCTTTTATTTAGTGTTCACTGGGAGTTTCTGATGACTCCTTTCCTGTGTGTAGAAGCTTTGAATGAGCTGTTCCATCCAACACTGTTATGTTTTTCTTGCAGAACAAACTTGGAACTTGAGCTGGTCCATCGAGGAGGCAGTTTATGTTCAGGAGGTGCAAGCACAGCTGGGAAAAGATCATGTTTAAGTAAGTCTTATGTTATGAAGTGCAGCATAAAATATTAGACTATGCAGTAAAGATGTCTAGTTCTTTCTAACATTTTCTAAATTATGTCAACTTTTTTCTTTTAAGAACCATTTTTTCTGCCATAATGAGTCTTTGTGTTTTGTTGCAATTTGAGAAATCGGAAATCTAATTTGCACAAACTATTCATTAGAGCTATTCATGTCTTGTGAGTGTAATCTATTTAGAAATCAATCCTCATAGTATCCATGTAATATTTTTTAATAATTTTACATTTTTATGAGTAAAACTAGAAGTATTTTAAGGGTAAAGCAGGAAAGCTTTGTTTCACCCTGGCTGTTGCTAGTAATAGTAAAGAAATTTGTTTCTCTGAGTGGTAATGCAGCTCATGACAAGGTGTCATACTTAGAAATCTGCAGCTACCATGTGCCATGTCTTTAATTTTCCCTAGTTCTTTCTCTGACAGGACAGTTTTGCAAATTTTCTTTGGTAGAAAGTCTCAAATCTTCATTGTTCTGTACCTTTAATGTTTGGCAAATAAAGCACTTCTGGTGGACAGCAGTGCTTTTTTTCTTAACGTAAAATCTTTTAATCTTTTTATCTTCTACTGGAATATAAACTGTTAGGAATGGACACTTTCTTTTGTCAGGAAAAACTGGAAAGCCTGCCAGAATGCTTGCTCAAATCAAGCTTATGCAGCAGTAGCGCAGATTCAGTAGTAAAAATGTCAGAAAGCTTGGGCCCACCTCTGTCTTTTGGTACATGATTTGTGGGCAATGCTTTACTTGTCGTTTGAGGTGATGAGCCACCAAAGAAATCCCATCACGTGCTATGCTGTCCACATCCTCTCTAGGATGAGAGTCTTCTGTTACTGCCAAGAAATGTAGTTCAACTGATTTCATTCATTTGTTCTGATTTGTGAAAAGTAGTTTTAAACCCTACTGTGCATTGTCTCCCCACTACTGTCATTACCTCCCTTTCCCAGCAGAGCAAAATACCTGAAAAATGCATGTGTTAAAAGAACATCGCTAGATCACTGTTTGCAAATTCGAAGCATTTAATAAAATCAAGACTCTACAGATAATTTCTACTTGGATTACGATGTATTTTTAATTGTATGCTAGTAAGGTGCTGAATTTTAGCAACTTAGGGCAGAGATTTCAGCTTAAAATAGTGAAATATTTAAAGTGAAAAAATTTATAATGACTTTACACATAAAGAGATTGTATGCCTGTTTTCACATGGCTGCAGGAGCCATACCAGATCTTTATAAGTCAGGAGATTTTGGCTTCTCTATATGATTTTTTTTTTTTTTTTTAAAGATAAAAGTATAGTGAAATACATTCATTACATCTTAAACCACTGTGAAATGTTTGATGTCATATCAGTATTAAGTGTGTTGTATGTACCTATTTAAAAGCTTTTTATTTTTATATGTATATATAAAAAAAGATAATGTTTTTTCTCATGGTACTTCATCACCAACTAATGTCAGTAAGTGCTGGAAGATTCTGACTTTGCAGAGAATGATTGAATCATCAGAGTGCTGGGCAGCTTCCTCGGTGTGCCTCTGTATAGCTCTATTGTTTCTATTTGAACTATATCAGGTCCAAGGGAGCAACTACCTCAAAGTTGGTTTTGTTTGTTTGAGGGTTTTTTTAAGGAAGAAAAGAAAGCAAAAAATTCCACCTGAGGTCTGGTAGTTGACACTAAATGGTTTGTATAATACATTATTTAGTTTTTTCTTATACTTACCACACCATCCCTTCAACCTCATCTTGCATAAAGAAGGACTCGTACATACTTAGGACCTGATTTTAAAAGGAAGCATACCTTTTGCTGACAGCCACTGGAAAGATCAGTCAGGATTTTTCATACATATTCATCAAGTCTTGAAATGCATGGAGAATACTGTAATCATTGGAGAAATGTCTTTTTGGAGAATTACAAAATTGGAAATGATACATGGAGAGTGTATCTCCACTAGAGAATTGTCTTATGCTGGATTTTTACTTCAACAAGACAGGACAAACTTAAGTCCTCTTTAAAGTCATATATCATACTTCCCTGTTTTTCCAGCACTTTTACTATTTTGCCTTTAACTCTTTATGTCTCGGAAAATGAACCGGTGTTGTCTGTTCATCAAAATAGGTTACTGGAACAAACTAAACTTATAGAAAGGTGAAGATACTTCTCACACTTGAGAAGTCTGGAAATAGTCTTCTTAATGAGAAGCTTTAAGTAAGATTACATCAACTATTGCTTTTAAAAATATGTGTTAGTTTACAACTATTGCTTTTCAAAATACACATTAGTTTACAAAATTTAAAATGTTTATGAAATACGTCACTTTTTAGTAGCAGCAAATCCGCCGTTAAACTGTGCATTAGATGTCTATAGAAAGAGTAAAATAGCCCAGTAAGGAAAACTTGGTTTTAAATCCTTGTCTTCAGAATTGTGTCTATATTTAGAGAGAAGAAATTTTTTTCCCCATGATGCGATTTAGCTGTTTTCATGTACTTGCACACGAGGGCTTAATCTGAAATTGGTGGAGTATTTCCTATAATTGAAAAACGTGTTGATAGTTTTGGTTTGGGTTTTTGGTTTGCTTTGGTTTTTTTGTTGTTGTTGTTCATTTGTTTCTACTTACAATACATTGCATTTTGTTTACTATAATATTTTTCTGTTCCTTTCTTAAACTGTCGTGTAATTTTTCTTACTGAGTGTGTTGTACACGGAAATAGTGTTTTTTCCTTTAGCAGTTGCATTACTTTAAGGATTCTAGTGCATGTTTCTGATGAAGGGATAGGGACAGCATTTAAACACAATGCATCTAATTTTTTCCACACTTTTGGGTAGAATGGTAAATTTTCTTATTTAGATCTAAGTCAGTCATGTTAGTGGTTTTAGTATCTATCTTGCACTTCAGAGAAATTGAAGAAGGCCTTTAAAGCTTTCAGGTGAAAGGCGCTACGTGTATGAAGGTGGTGTTGCTCTAAACAGCGTGGAGACAGACATGTCATCTGTTCATTGTTAAAACGTTCACAGGCTGTTTGTGTTCTGTATTGGTACTTATTTTGTAAAACTGTTATGTAGCAAACTAGTCATATTTAATATTGCATTAAAATAGACTCATTTTTAATGTAATGTCATGGGGTTCTCCTAGAACAGACCTGTACAGTACTACCATTTAGTATTATTATATTTAGTGTTGGACATTAGGCTAAATATGACTAGTGGGAGCAGAATTACTTTTCCATAAGTAGCAGGGTTTGTTTTCACTAAACCATTATATAATTATATGAGTTTCCTTCATTGCCCTTCCGTATTGGTGCATTTAGAGATGAAAAAATTGCAGTTCTTTAGATACATGTTCTATAATAGATATTATTATCATTCCATACTCATTTCTTTTTCCAAGAGGTAATTCTGTTTTTAAATTTTCACTTAAAATGTACCTTCAACTTCTTCATTGTCTTATGCAGAGAGGAAAGAATGATTTGAAAAATCCATACCCTATTGTTGTGGTTTAGCCCCAGCCAGCAACTATTGCACCACGTAGCTGCTCACTCACTCCCCCTACCCTGATGGGATGGGGGAGAGAATTGGAGGAGTAAGAGTGAGAAACACTCCTGGGTTGAGATAAGAACAGTTTAATAATTGAAATAAAGTAAAATAGTAATGATAATAGTAACAGTATAATAATGGTAATAATAATAATGATACACAAAGCAAGTGATGCACAATGCAATTGCTCACCACCCGCTGACCGATACCCAGACGGTTCCTGAGCAGCGATCGCTGCTCCCCGGCCAACCCCACACCCCGTTCCTCTACTGCGGCCCGCCAACTCCCCCCATTTATTATACGAGCATGACATTGTATGGTATGGAATAGCCCTTTGGCCAGTTTGGATCAACTCTTCTGGCTGTGCCCCCTCCCAGTTTCTTGTGCACCTGGCAGAGCATGGGACGCTGAAAAGTCCTTGACTAGCATAAGCAGTACTTAGCAACAACTAAAATATCAGTGTGTTATCAACATTCTTCTCCTACTAAATCCAAAACACAGCACTATGCCTGCTCCTAGGAAGACAATTAACTCTATTCCAGCCGAAACCAGGACACCTATCTAGAACTCAAATACTGTTTTGTTAAAGTCTTGCTTGTATGGTATTGAAACTGCTTTTGCTTTTTAAATGTCATTCATGTCAGGTCCAGCAGAAGTAATCTAAAATATAACCCAATTTAGTTTTCTTATGTGTGAGATGAGGTGTCTCTCTTGTGATTAAGCATACCACTCTGTATTAGTCTTGTAACAGCTGTAAAGTTTGGTGATCAGATATTGCAGAAAACAGAATATGTTGTCCCAGGTGAGCCGTTATAGCAGCAAGTGTCAGGGAAGATGGTGAGAACAGACAGGTCAAGAGCTGTTTTAGTAGATTGCACCATGAGGGCAGCTGCTCTTGGGAAGTAAAATTAAGAATGATTAATGTAGCTGTTAGTGTCAGTGACTGAGTCTGTGCAAGAAGAATGATGAAGAAAATTTGGCTGTAAAATTGCCATTTTAAGGTTTAAAGTTTTGTGTGTGTGTGTTACTAAACAGTATGCAACCAAAAAAATGCAAATAGAGTCCTATTTACTTATTACTTAAAAATCAAGTCCTGTTTTATGGACCGTGTTACACTTTTAGAGTCTATGGCCTTGAAAAATCTCTTGGGTTTAGGGTATAATTATGATACATAACAATTGTACAAGTCTTATTACTCTGTTTTATAAAGTTTAAGAGATCTGATGTTTTACGTTTTGTTTTCATTGTTTTGTATTTATAGAACAGCTTCAGAACACAATATTAAGGCTGAATAATTAGGAGTTCTCTGTACAACTTTTGTAGCTCTCTAACTTGTATTTATGTGTTTTTCTCTGTTACTTGGTAATCTTGCAATAGTGGGTGAACAATTCCACAAAATTTAGAAGTTATCTATAAAGGAATTTATAATGTAGTCC